GTGGGATTTTTTTTAACTATGTAATCTAGTTATAGGGCCCAAGGTCTTAGCCCTTACATTATGGTGAAAATGGGGACTAAAGCCCACGTTCACCCACACCTTCAGTATTCAGATGACATCTACTATTCAGATGCAAAGACGATTTTTTACTCAGGCTAATTTTTCCCAAACTATTTCTGTGTTTGATGATACCAGCACATGCATGCTCTTTCTGATTGCAAGGGTAGTATTGGCTTTTGGTCAATTTATATGTGCTTTTTCTATCCTTTTGAGTCTATAATAAGCTTAAACATAAGACAGAACTTTTTGTGTACCTGATTACTTTAGTCTTTCTCATCCATCTTAGAGCATTGTCATTTTATGTCACTTTGTGCAAATGCAGTAAGATTTATTACGTGTGTGCGAAAAGCCACATTTTGCCTTTGATAAATTCAAGGAAATGATTCTTTTTTTTTTTAAAGATTTATTTTTATTATTTTTTATTGGAAAGGCGGATATACAGATATACAGAGAGGAGAGACAGAGAGGAAGATCTTCCGTCCGATGATTCACTCCCCAAGTGAGCGCAACGGGCCGATACTATGCCGATCCGAAGCCAGGAGCCTCTTCTGGGTCTCCCACGCGGGTGCAGGTTCCCAAGGCTTTGGGCCGTCCTCGACTGCTTTCCCAGGCCACAGGCAGGGAGCTGGAAGGGAAGCGGGGCTGCCGGGATTAGAACCGGCGCCCATATGGGATCCCGGGCGTGCAAGGCGAGGACCTTTAACCACTTGCGCCACCGCGCCGGGCCCCAAGGAAATGATTCTTGAGCATTCAGCGTTTTTGCGAAAGATGTGCTCTCAGACTCAACTGATCACAGATTATGAATGTGGAACTGAAAGGGTTTTCTTTAGTTTTTGGCTTTGTTTATTTTCTAAACTAAGAATCACCAAGGAAGCTATCAGGTTCTGCTAAATCATCATATGGGCACTTAGGCGGTTTGTCTTTTCCTGGTGAGCAGTAGCAGTTCAGGATTTTTGTTTTTTAGTTCTAGAAGTGTACTCACAAGAATTTAAGATCCAAGATAGTGAATGACACACATTTTTTTTGTTTGTTTATGTTTTTTTTTTAATTAATTACATTGCATTATGTGACACAGTTTTATTGGCACTGGGATTTCCCCAACCCCACCCTATACCCTCCCCCCATGGTGGATTCCTCCACCTTGTTGCAGTACCACAGTTCAAATTCAGTTGAGATTCTTTCATTGCAAGCATATACCAAGCATAGAGTCTAGCATCTTATTGGCCTGATAAATTCAACGGTTTCCTGGGGAGACCATCTCTGGTCTGAAGGTAGAGCTGGCAGAGTATCGTCCCAATGAATTAACAACCACAACATAACATCAACAACAATTTACAACATTATGGAATTAATTGACATGGTACTGAGTAACCAATATGTTTAAAAAAAAATTCAAGTTCTTAACCACATCCTGTGACTATTTCATTGACATTTCAATTTTAGTTTATATACAACTGGCTTCTATACACCTTAAAATGGCTATAGATTACTATTCAGCTGTCTCATGACTATTTTCATTTTAGCATTCAGCAGTTTATAGAGTTGAAGCTTAATTTTGCTGAACTTGGCAGATTTTGGGATAATCTAAACTGGCTTATAACTCTGACAAGGCGTATGTCAACAGTTGAGGTGCAGAACAGTTTTAGGAGGGGTGTGCAGAGAAATCTTCCATACCCTAGTGAGCAGTAACTAATCTTTGATAACAAACATTTTGAATCTGACACTTTTGATTTCCAAATTGTAGGCTAACAACTTATATTAAAGTTAAAAGATAGTCTTAGAATTCATGAGCCAAGTGTTTGTGGGTATGGGAGGTAAAGAGACGTATATTTCTCAATGAAACCTGCACATGATGAAGAACGCATATGAGAGATTTTTCTCTTCCGTAAAGGAATTAGACACCATCTAGGCAGGAGTAGCAAGTCAGAGCTTTGGAGAAAGCCAAGAAAGTGAACAAGAAACCAGAAACACCACTGTGAGCACAGCCTACCTGGCTGCCATGTGGTCTTTGTTTTAATGTGCCCCATCTTGATGTGTTTTTAGCTATAGTGTTTTTTTGTTGTTGTTGTTCTTAAAGTTTATTTTTATTGCAAAGTCACATATACAGAGAGGAGGAGAGTCTTCCATCCAATGCTTCCCTTCTGCAAGTGACCACAACAGCTGGAGCTGAGCCAATCTGAAGCCAGGAGCCAGGGGCTACTTCCCGTTCTCCCATGCGGGTGCAGTGTCCCAAGGCTTTGGGCCTCGACTGCTTTCCCAGGCCACAAACAGGAAGCTGGATGGGAAGTGGGGCCTCCAGGGTTAGAACTGGTACCCCTATGGGACCCTGGCGTGTGTTAGGCAAGGACCCTAGCCACTAGGGTACTGTGCTGGACCCTGGCTATCATATCTTTAAAAAAAATTGTCAATGAAAAAATATCTGACTTTGCAACTGAGCCATTGCAAAATTAGCATTTCCTTTATGGAAATAAATGCCACATGATTTTGAGCTGCTTCCATTCAGTGTAAGTGAAAATTTTCATTCAGTGTAAGTGAAAATTTTCAATCAAAATTTTCTGAAGTCACTGCGTTGCTCCACAAGCCACTTTTAAATGATTTTGTAGAGGGCTTGGTGTTGTAGCCTAGCAGCCAAAAGTCCTTGCCTTGCACCTGCCAGGATCCTGTATGGGTGCTGGTTCTAATCCCAGCAGTCCCACTGCCCATCCAGCTCCCTACTTGTGACCTGGGAAAGGCAGTGAAGGATGGTCCAAGGCCTTGGAACCCTGCACCCACGTAGGAGACCTGGAAGAAGCTCCTGGCTCCTGACTCCTGACTTCGGATCAGCTAAGCTCTGGCTGTTGTGGTCACGTGGCGAGTGAATCGATGGATGGAAGATCTTTCTATCTCTCTTCCTCTGTGTATCCGACTTGCCAATAAAAATAAAATAAATCTTTAAAAAAAAGTAACTGATTTTGTGGAGTCCGTACTAACCATGAAGCAATGGCTTGTTGCAGCAGCTATGAAACCCTGAACTCTCACCCAGGTTAGAGGTGGTTTTCCTTTTTCCCACTGTTGAAATTGTTGGGTTGGCCACAGAGTACCCAGTTTATCTACCAACTGAATTGGAATTCAGTGTTTTACTTCAGATGACTTAAGTTGAAAAGGAACTGGACTATCCTTTGTATTCAGTAGAACTTGACAAGTGAATAACTTTCCTTTTCCTTCAAAGCAGCATTTAATGCTGTGTTTAAATTAGACCCTGGTTCAAATTCTTACTCTGTAACCTTGCAGGTTACTTTGTTTCCTCATCACCCAAATGGCAATTTTAGCTCAAAATGCCAGCCTTGGAGGCATGTTAGTAGGAGAGATGTGCAACAAGCATGCAAGCGAACAAAAATATAGTCTTGTAAGATGAGCTCTTGAGGAAAGCTGAAACCTGTTTCTTGTGGTCATAAAAGGATTTGAGCATATGTCTACTGACTTTTTCCCAAGATGTATTTCTTTTTTACTAGGAGGATATACAGAGAGGAGAGACAGCAAAATTTTCTGCCCACTGATTCACTCCCTAAGTGGCCACAATGGCCGGAGCTGAGCCATCCAAAGCCAGGAGCCAGGGGCTTCCTTTGGTTCTCTCACATGGGTGCAGGGTCCCAAGGCTTTGGACTGTCCTTGACTGCTTTCCAGGCCACAGGCAGGCAGCTGGATGGGAAGCAGGGCTCCTGGTATTAGAATTGGCATCCGTATGGAATCCAGGCATCAGAGCACCTGCAAGGCAAGAACTTTTAGCTGCTAGGCTACCACACCAGGTCATGTCGGCTGCCTTCGAAGAAGCCAGGCTCTATAGCTTGTTAAGTAGCTATCTATTCATTGTATTTAAAGGACTTCTTTCAGATACTCCTTTAAGAAATATTTTTGAGTGATCTTTGTGCATATCCATGGTAACAATTCTATGGCAGTAGTTATGCCTTCTTTCTGTTTGATGCCTGGTCACTTGCTGTCCAGTGTTGCTTTCAGCCAGTGTCACTGTCATGCTTTATGTGTGTATAAGCACTTTCTTGATTATATTCTTTAGCATTCAGGAATTCAAATGTAGTCGTTTTCAAGCTTGAATGTGCTCACAGCCACTTCGGGGTGCATGGGATTCCTGTTGCCCGTCCGAGGAGTGCCCTGGAAGAGCCAGGATGCACCTCCCTGTCCCCCTGCAGACCTTAACCATGGGCTTCATCACTCACACGGCCCTTCTTCTGGGAACCTTTCCTTGACTTCCCTTTTATTAAACCTGTCGGTTTTGAGAATTTAGCATGTGTTGGGATCATGTGGGAAGTGTGGTGCTGGAGTGGGTTTCTGTTTTGACTCCCCTTCGATGTCCTTGCAGATGACCCATGGAGAGCAATCTGTGACACAGGTTTGATCATACCTGCCTCAATACGATGATGAGTGTTTTATTTGTCTCTGATTTTTTTTTTATAATGTTATACTATCATTTGTCTTTTACCAGAATTCCTGGAGGGAAAGATGTGAGACTTAGTTAAGGCCCAGCACAGTGCATGTTAAAAAAGCAGGAGAGTGAGTAGTGCCTGTGTAGTCCACGTGACCACAGAGAACTTCATCTCCCAAGGTCCCAGTTTCCTGCTGGACACAGTGGTGGTAGCAATGCTTGCTTGCTGTGGGAATCAGCTTTAAGATATGTGTTGGTTACTCAGTGTCATCATGAACATTAGACAGTCACAGGAAGTGGCAACCGTCATGATGCTGTGGTTGTCATTGTGTTACGGAAAAGGTAAAATTAAACTCTGAATGAAAATGTTGGCATGGCGATTTTTTTTTTAACCATTTAAATTCAGGATATGTGTTAATACTTACAAAGTCATTGCTTTATTCCAACTGAATATTTTATATTTTAGGATTTAAATAAAATATGAGGAAGCAAAATCAAATGTGCATGTTTTTTTCTCCTTCAGGAAAACAAGGGAAGCGCTTGGAGCCCATGGACACCATCTTTGTCAAGCAGGTTAAGGAAGGAGGGCCGGCGTTTGAAGCTGGACTGTGCACAGGTGGCTGTTCTTCCCCACGGCACACCTTTTCCCTTGCATTTCCTCCTCCACCTTCTGCTGTGTCTCCCGTGTTCTTACTAGTATTTATTAGGATGTACTGGTAATGCATTGCTGCTGTGATTATCGCTTTTGTGTAGCTAGTCACATGTTTATCCCCCAGTGGATGAGTTTGAAAAGAAATACCAGCATAAATTGCTACACTGCAGGCACTTGGAGTTGCCATGCAGATCTTGGGCCTTTGCTGCCTCCTTTAATGAACATATTTTGCATACAGTGAATTTTTACAACGGATTACAAAATAGCAAAATAATGAAGGAATTTATTTCACATGATCGAAATAATCTTCTTGGATGTCCAAGTTCTGGAAGTGCCTGGTCTGCCAAAGGTGAAGTATCTGACATCAGAAGCAGCTTAAGTTGCTAATGCTATGCAAGCCCAGTTCCCAGTTTCATCAGCATCAGCTAGTGGGTGTGGTCTGCTCAGCTGGCTTTTTGTTTCAAAATATTTTGTGACTCGTGACTTAAGTAAAAATAAAGATTTCATTAAGTGTGTATTCTACAATACTCTGTTGTTTTTAAACCTGAAATAATTTGAAATGAAAGAATAAAAAATGCTTCTTTACCATCTTTTGGATAAAATGTATCATAGCCACCAAATCAAACTGGGTAGTATCTTTGTTAGGATTTGTTAGGATGCATCGCCGGTGCATTTCCTCTTTGTTGGCCAATTCACACTACTTCAGGTGAGCCTCACTTCAGTGTCACCAGGTGTGACAGGGATGTTATGTCCACACGGGATCCCAGTACACCCCAGACCCTGTGAGCGGTGTGAAGCCCACACCCAACAGCACCAGCTTCCTGCTTCATCCTCTCCCTGCTCTGGCCTTTGTTTACCCTTTAGTATGTATAAAATCAAAAGCGTGTACTTAAGTTCTGTATTACAATCTGCTCAGTAAGCCAATTACATAGATTAAAATACTGTTAAAGTGAGCTGGGCTAAAACTGGAGCACACTGAAGAAATAAAACTAATCACAATTTTAAACCTATGGCATAACGTTTCTCTCTGAAGTGATAGGGTGGATGGAGGTATGAATAGTATGGCCAGGGTCAGCTGTTGACCTTTCTTTTGGAAGTTTCTAAATTCATCTATATGTAGACAATTTCTTTAGAATATGGCTATATTTTATAAGAATCTGGGTATGTTAATTTAAATTCATTTTTTAAGTGGGACATTGAAAAGGATGAATAAGGCTACATCAAAAATAAGACTAGTGCTCAAGAAATATTTGAAAAGTATGAAAAGTAGCCTCGTTTACAACATCTTCATGGGTTGTTTTTCTCCTTTTTGCAGGTGACCGAATCATCAAAGTCAATGGAGAAAGTGTTATTGGAAAGACCTATTCTCAAGTGATTGCTTTAATTCAGAACAGGTGAGAATCTTGAAAGATATTTAATTTTGGTCCGAGGTGGACTTTCTAGATAATGGACCAAGCAGATTTAATGTAGTCTTGTATGAGGAGTTGGAATGAAGTGGAGATGTGGAACTTCCTTTGCACTGGATAATGCATTTGGGAGTTGCCAAGGCCCAGCTTCCTGAAAATAGGTTACTTGTTGGTTTGTATTTGGCAGACTTGTTAGATTTAGGATAAAATCCTTTGCAAAGATCGACTGTTGAGATTTGTACTTTTATTTCAGGTATATAATTTGTGTATAGTAAATAAATGATAGTTTATTCCATAACCTCTTATTAAGATGTCATTTTAAAATTTTTAATATTTTCCATGATATAGTCTTGTAGGTATAGAGATTCTCCCTCTCCCTTCCCTTTCTTCTTCCCCATCCCCGCCAAGCCAAGCCCACTATTTCCCCCATTGTTACAATAGTATAGTCCTTCAGCAACAGTGTTTTGAGCAGGCATCTAGGTGCATCCTGGCACTTGCATTAGAGAAGCCAGTGGTTAAGGTGGTATATAGCTTTAAAATGTGAATCATTTCAAGCAGTAGTGACGGGAAATCGATTTCCTTCACTTCTCAGGCCATAAAAGGAATGTTTATCAAACTTGGGATGTTTAATATTGCTTAAAATAGTAAACTCAAGGTTCTTTGTTTTATGTTATTGACTTTTTAACTTGATAAACAGAGTATGTGCTAAAAATCTGTACTTTTCTTATGACTTAAAACAGTAAATACTGATATTTTGTGAGTTTTGCTCTGGAAATATTTAACATATTCTGTGATTCTCAAGTAGCAACATGCTGTAAAGTAAATGTGAGTGATTATAAACAGTACAAGTAGGGCACAGTAATTACATATGTAAGAGTGGCTTCATTCTAGTGATGTGATTTTAATAGGAGAAAGTGTAAGAAAAACTCTTCAGCAATTAAAAAAATACTTCCAAGTTAACTAGCTTCCTTATACATTTCTGCTTCTGCTAAAGTTGTATAAATATATGTATTCGATTTCAGTGATACAACATTGGAACTTAGTGTTATGCCAAAAGATGAAGACATTCTCCAAGTGGTAAGTTTAATTTATTCTAATATGAATCATTTTCGTAGGTCTGAATGCTAAGAAACTATTTTTTGAGATGAAGGTAGACAGAATTCACAAAAAGAATTTAAAAAAAAAAACAATGTTTCAGTTAGCAGAATCAAGAATTCTCTACATTTTACAAAGCCAAACAAGACCGTTGTCACTTTTGGAATTAACAGACATTGGAATGTGTAATTGACTCCACAGGAAACTCAGTGGTTGAAACTGCTGGAGTTTCACCCGGTGTTGTCTTCCCCCTGGTTTTTTGAGAGTTCAAGTGCATTGGTGCGGGAACTAGAATCTCTTTGTTTTAGCATGAGAACAGAAATCTTATGAAAACCATTTCTTCATTTTCCATCTTCATCTTGTAAATGAGTAAACCAAGTATCTTTGCTAATGTTAGAGTCTTACCAAAGAACTGGAGCTGTATAGTGGAAACTATAGCCTCTACTCTAAAATATTTTTCTTCTTTCCAGAAGAAACAAACTGAGCGGAATGCTTAACTGCTTTGTTAATTTTAAGTAATGATGAAAGTTAAAAGGCGATTAAAATGTGTTTCCTTCAAGAAGACTATACTTTTCTTCAACTGACTGCAATTGAAGAGTATTAAATAGAACATACAGATCCCTTTGAGTAGCATTCTTGTTTAAGTCAGGTTTAGGAGATGACAGTGACCACCATAGAGCATTTTTTTAAGTCATTTTAGTGAATAGATTTTTTTGTATTCTAGCTAATGGCTAAGTTCATGAAAAAGAAAGCTTATATGGAATCTCTGTGGTGGGAATGGAAATGGTATGGTATTTTTTTTTATTATTTGTGATGGCATAGTTTGAATTTAGCTTAGTAAAGGCCCTACAGTAATCTTCTGTAAACGTTTTTCGTAACAGTATCACTAATGCTGATCCTCATCATTCATCCTGTTCACATGTGAAGTGTGCTTAGGTGAAATCTCAGAGGCAAGCCCCGTGTTTTCAAGGCATGCGGATTAACTGGTAGCAGAATCCCCTTCTTAAGCATACAGTGCTGCTGGCGTCTGACAAGGACAGTAGAGCTATCTGCAGCAGTTGTCCCAGGCATGTAGAAGCAGTTGTAGAGTTCCCGACCTTTTAATCCCATACACAGAGAAGCAAACATAACCACTGAAGCCAATGGCTGTAAGAATCACTCAACAGAGATAATAAATTATCCTAAGTGCTTTTGTGCGAGCAATCTTCTGACTCCGTTTTTCTAAGAATCTTGTGTAACTATTTGAAAGGCAGAGATAGAGGTTCTCTCACCCAATTGTTCATCCTCCAAATGCCCACAAATAACCAGAGCTATACCAGGCATAACCTAAGAGCCTAGAACTCAGCTGAAATCTCCTACAGGGGTGACGGGGATCCAGAGTACTAGCATCGCCACGTCTTGTCTCTGCAAGTGTGCATCCGCAGGAAACTGGAACTGGGAACAGGGCCAGGACTCAAACTCAGGCACTAACAAGGGAGCTGGCCAATGTCCCAAGCGATGTCTTAACTGCTGTGTCTCATGCCCACCCTTCTAGTGTTCTTAATTTTACGTATATATATAAAATTATACATATTTTATATATATGTACTATATATATATATATATAATGTTTTTTTATTGGCAAGTCAGATTTACAGAGAGAAACAGACAAAAAGAGAAAAGATCTTGGCATTCACTGGTTTGTTCCCCAAATGGCTGCAGTGGCTGGAGCTGAGCCGATCTGAAGCCAGAAGCCAGAAGCTTCTTTTGTTTCTCCCATGCAGATGCAAGGTCTCAAGGCTTTACGCCACCCTCCTCTGCTTTCCCAGGCACAGGCAGGGAGCCAGATGATAAGTGGAGCAGCCAGGACACAAACCCAGTGCCCATGTGGGATCCGCACACTTGCAAGGGAAGGATTAGATAATTGAGCCATCACACCAGGCCCCCTTCTATTGTTCTTAACACAAAGTACACGAAGTTGATACACTAAAGATCATGAAGGCTTTCTGCTAATCCCTCCTTAGAAGCTAAAGACCTAGAGACAGAATTAATTTCTAAACCCAGGCTGTTTTCTGATCTTCAGTAGACTCTGTCCTTATTATGATGAAAGCATTCGTTGGATGCCATTAAAAATAACGCCCCATGTCAGGGAATGACCAGCCCTATACTAAACCCGGAGGAAAAGAATTAAATGCAGAATTTCCATAATGACCTGTTGTGTGATCATTATGAAAAGAAACAGACCACTTAAGGAAAGGAAAGGAATAATGTTCTAATGATATAGTTAGTAGAAAGTTAATTTGTCTTGTTAAATTGTATTAATGATAAGTAAATGTAAAATAAAAGCAAAGCATAGACTGTTAGAAACGAGAAGATATGCAGACAATAGTTGACATGAGCATATGGATCTTGGGGCTCATTAGTGAAGGGCTCTGGTGTGTTGTAACAAAAATTTATCTTTAGAATACGTTCTTGAAACCAGCAGGAGTCTTATAAACCCATGGCCTCGGTGGTGAGGGAAGACTGGCTTTAAAAATACTCTTAGTTCACATTTGAGTGTATTTCAGTTCATCAGGCAGTCAGTGAAGTGTCTGTATAAATAAATAAGATATAATATGTGCTGTTCTGTGAAGGGCATTAGATATGGCAACTTCTTTTCCACAAAAATTGGTTTTCTATGAAATATCTATGTTCTTAAAGATCTTAGAAAATAATCAGATAAACATTTATTTATTTGATAGTTAACAGAGTGAGAAGGAAAGAGAGATCTTCCATCTGTTGGTTCACTCCCCAGATGGACACAATAGCCAGGGCTGGACTAGGCTGAAGTCAGGAGAATATCCAGGTCTCCTGTGTGGTTGGTTGGCAGGGTCCAAATACTTGGGCTATCTTCTCTGCTTTTCCTAGCTATTAACCAAGAGCTGGATCCGAAGTGGAGCGGACAGGACTTCAACCAGCACCCATGTGAATGTTGGCATCACAGACGTCTGTGTAAACAGTTACACCACAGTGCTGGCCCCAGAGTCTGAAATTTCGAAAAGACTGTTTCTCCGTCTCTGGCCCAGATTCTAGAGATAGCATGTTTTGTGATTTATTTTTATTTTTATTTTTATCTTTTATTAGATTTTCAGAAAGGAGGACAGACAGAAAGATGTTCCATCCACTGGTTCACTCCCCAAATGGCCACAATGGCCAGAGCTGAGCCAATCTGAAGCCAGAACTAGAAGCTTCTTCTGGGTCTCTCATGTGCTTGCAGGGGCCCAAGGATGTGAGCCATCCTTTGCTGCTTTCGCAAGTCATAAGCAGGGAGCTGGATGAGAAGTGGAGCAGCTAGGACACGAACTGGCACACACCTGGCTTGCAGGTGGAGAATTAGCCTATTATACCACTGTGCCAGCACCTGGAAGATGTTATCACTGTAGAATATTTATTGTAGAAAACAAATGACATGAACTTTTTACAGGCAGTTTAGAAGTCTCATGAGGCCTGTATCGCCTAGCTAGCCTTAGGATTGGGTGGTCCGCAGTGGTTTTGTCTCTTGGTCTCATGAATGGACCACAAGTTACCCTGGAAATTCTCAGCTCACTGTTGAGAGTTGGCACAGATCATTTAATGTGGTTTAAAAGTTGGCTTGGGTTAGGACTGATATATAACCATGAGTTATGGGTGGCAGTGATGTGATACTGAAAAGCACAAAGTGAAATTAGGACAATTTGTTATTTTTAAAAGAGTTCCTATTCTTGGCAGTCTTGTCTTTTAAACCAACACATCTATTTTGTATACACTCATTTCAGTCATTTTGACCAGTTTGCATTTTTCAGGTACTATTACAAAATGAAAGGCATTTCTTGTTTAATTTTTAAAAAACTGTTTCTCTATGAAATGTTGTCTGTACAAAAATAACATTTTTATCACCCTTCAAGTTCCTAAACAGTGAGACATTCTTGGTTGGTTGGGGATGCTATGAGAAGCTAATAACCAGCAGGACTTTATTCCTTCATAGATGGTGCCTTCTTGCTGGATCTTCTCTGGGTGTTAGGGCCAAGATGCTGTCCAGAGCCTTTTTGTGCAGCCATTAATTCTGCTGGAGAGCCTCCAGCCTCATGGCCCAGTCACCTCCTCAGGCCTTTATCTCCCAGTACTGTCTTGATGATGACTGGTTTTCTGTAGAAGGGCTGGGAGGGCACGCAGTTAGGCTGTGGCACTGACCCAGGACAGGACAGGAGGACTGCACCTGCATGTTCTAATCTGTGTGTCAGCCAGGTCCTTTGTTCGGCCTCAGGGGGCACTCAGAACTAGATTTTAGGTTGATTATTTCTGATGTCTCAGGAGACTTTTGGACAGTTGGTGGTGCTTGCCCGGGGTACCACTAGCCTGCTTTGTTTGATTCTGTGTTAGGCTTAACAGAGCTGAATAGCTCATCTAGTGCAATGGGGAAGAAAGCAGTAGAGCTAGATTTGGACCTGCAGGCCTGTGACTAAGGCTTGTACTTTGAACCCAGCACTTTGCATTGTTCCAACTTGCACTTCTAGATTCTGAGCGACACCGTGGATGTGACACAAACTGAAAATTTTTTAGTTTACAGAGGCTTGTCTTTAGTTTTAACTAGAGTAGCTATTAAGTCATTTCATGGATTCTGTCTTCAGTCCAACATTTTGTTTAATAATGAAGGACCAATTGTGAATTGAGGTGATTTTCTGCCAGGAAAGCAAGAGTTGGGATTCTAGATATTTGTTTGAGACTCTTCCAGGATAGCCACAATCATGTGATGCTTCTTTAGAATTTGTTTAAATGTAATTGGGAACAGTGCTTGTTTGTGGAAAGCATTTCTGATTAGAAAGGCATTCATCCTCCTCTTCCGCACTGGGGCCTGGGTGGTGCGTGTCTTGGTTGTTTCTGCGTCAGCCACAGGTGATGGCATTACATTACAAATTCACCTGTCCAGATGAGTAGTTGGGGAGAATTCTAATCTTACCAGCTTATTTATCAGTAAACTCTTTGTATGTTACTTTTATTTTTGTTACTGCTTAAATAGACAGTATTGTTGGGGTGGAGAGGTGATTTTTTTCTTAGAGTATCACTAGTGAAAGCTGAACAGAAACCCACTGTACCTGGAGTCCCGACCCACACTGTGAATATTAAATTTCAGTTAATGCGTTCTGTGCAGTTCTAGTCCCAGGTGAAGAATTCTGAGTGTTATCTTTCTTTTTGTTTTCCTCTCACTTTCTTTTCACGTAAGAGCTTTTGGACCTGATCGGTCTAACAGAGCTGCTACTAGTCTCTCTGCTTTAAGGATGGCTTTAATGTCACAGTATGGACTATGAAACTACTATGAGATTAAAAAAAGGTAGGAGGGTAAAGAAAATTCAAGGGAGAATGCGGAGTAGTATGTGAAAAGATAAAATGGGAAAAATGATTAGTTTTTAAAATTCTGTTGAATTCACCAGAACTGTTCAATTGGAAGATATTTTAAACATTGACTCTATTCCCCCAAATGCCTATAAATGTATCCATTAGCACTTAAAAGTGAAACTCAAAATGATTAATAGTAAGGATGTGGTTCTTGGGACATTGGTACAAAATTTCCTGGTCATATCATTTCAGACAAAATTAATACAGCATGGTTTTAACATCATGATATAGGAATATAAATTGCTTTGTCAGTAATACTTGGTGCCATTTAATTGGCGCCCACTGACAACTCAAAAATCCTCAGTGGTTAGTTAACATTGATATGCCCAACCATGAAAGAATGGTACCTTGTGAGAAGACATTCGAAGCCCGAGGCATCCAAAGCTGAGTAGTGCAGCCCTGACCTCAGGGAGCTGTGTGTAGGGATCCATTCCAATGGATGCACTGCAGTGTTGGCCCAGGTTCTTCTGAGTTTTTTCCTCCTTGGCCTGCCTTCAGCAGGCAGTGGATGTTCTAAGGGAACATGGGCACCATGGTGACAAGGCATTCCTTGCAGTACATTTTATCCACTCTTAGTTGACTTTGCTCAGTTATTTGGGAGCTAATTTGCATGTTTGTGCACCTCTTGGAATAGCCATCATTGTTCCAGAAATTATTTCCAGACATGTTTGTGACAAGTGAGCTCAGAGGCCTTGCCACTTCCACATGAGAATGGTACTTTTTCACAATATTATGAGAACCAGGAGCTTTTTGTTTGTTTGTTTTTTAAAGGATTGATTATGTATTATTATTTTTTAAATTAATTACATTGCATTATGTGACACAGTTTCATAGGCTCTGGGATTCCCCCAACCCCTCCCTATACCCTCCCTATACTGGATTCCTCCACCTTGCTGCAGCATTACAGTTCAAATTCAGTCAAGATCCTTTCATTGCAAGCATATACAAAGCATAGAGTCTAGCATCTTATTGTCCAGATAAATTCAGTGGGAGACCATCTCTGGTCTGAAGGTAGAGCTGGAAGAATATCATCCTGATCAATTAAAAGCCACAACATAACATCAACAACAATTTACAACATTATGGAATTAATTGACATGGTAGTGAGTAACCAATATCTTTAAAAAAATGCAAGTTCTTAACCACATCCTGTGACTTCTTCATTGACATTTCAATTTTAGTTTTATATACAACTAGCTTCTATACACCTTAAAATGGCTATAGGGTACTATTCAGCTGTGTCATGTCTATTTTCATTTTAGTATTTGGCAGCTTATAGTGTTGAAGCATAATTTTGCTGAACTTGGCAGATTTTAGGATATTCTAAACTGGCATTTAACTCTAACAAGGCATATGTCAACAGTTGAAGTGCAGAACAGTTTTAGGAGGGGTGTGCAGAGAAATCTTCAATACCTTAGTGAAGAGTAACTAATCTTTGTGTCCTACCTAGTAAGGTATGTGTGAGTCCACGCTAACCATTTCCTGTCTGATTCTAAGCTTTCCTTGTTGTTCTCTATCTGTTCTAAAGTGTGTGTGTGTGTGTGTGTGTGTGTGTGTGTGTGTGTGTGTGTGTGTGGTCGGTCTCTGGAGCGACCCTGATGGTCATTGCAAGATAGGGTGGGGATCCAAAGTTGGAACTAAGTAAGGACCAGAGAAAACTCCTCTTCCGAGTCCCAAAGGAAGCTTACTGGAGAACCAGGAACCTTTAAGTTTGTAAGTAAATAAGTAAAGGCAGAGAAGCAAGTCTCAATTAAGAGAACATATGAGGTAATTCAATCATGCTCATGAATGACTTCATATTTCATTATCTCCACTCTACCTGCTTGCTTTAGACAATGGCACTGTATGTGCGAGAGATTGTTTTGTCAGCTTGCTGTTCAGACATGCTCCCGGTGTATGGGCTTAAGGATGCCTTCCCCCAGCTTTACTTAGAAGCAAGAGCTCACGGCTGTCTGATATTTAGGATTGCTATTTCAGAGTCAGATTATGAAACATTTTTGCCAGTATTTATTGGTCATATGAAAGTTCATGGAAGATGCATACAATGAAAACACTATGCATAGCTCTCACAAGTTTTGGCACCAAAGTGCTTAACTTTTAGTTGTATTTTCTATTAATTTTTTAAAGTACCCTTACACTTTTGTTATTAAAAGATAATTTTGTTCTCCAAGTTTGAATAAAGGAAGTACCTCTGAATTATTAGTTCTGAAACATCATTTCCTGAGCAGGTATTCCAACTATTTTAAAACAAAACAACAACAAAAAAAAACCTCTTGGGGGGGAAATAGGGTCTTGGGCAAATGAGTTTATACTTTCCCCTGAAGTTTTACCATGTCCATTAATGTTGTGGAGGCTTTGAAAATTCAGGCTGACCTTGACCCTTCCCTCCATGAGAATATGAAGGATTGATATAAAGGCACACTATAGGATATGCTATACCAAATGGCACAAGCACCATCACAATAAAGATGGGTTTGTGATGACAGCGCCCATGCTGCACAAGTACAATTGGATTGTAAGAATATTCTGCTATGCATATTTTCTTTTATATAGTTAGCTTTAATTTTTTACTGCATTCTAGTCTGTGTTCTATAGTATTCATTATAAGGTAAGAATCACTTGAAATCGTGCTTTTATGTAGTTATTTTCAGATGCTCACAAAATAGTACAAATCTTACAATGTTGAAAGTTTTTACATTTTGAGTAAAAACTATTTAACGAAACAGTCTTCTTTCTCCCAGAAGTGTAGTGTGGAGGCAGCTTGCAGTCAGCTGGGAGCTCATGGCTGGGCTCTGATCTCCCAGGCAAGCAGGAGGCTGTGCTGTTCTCAGGGCACAATGGAACCTTCGTTGTGTCAACTGGAAGCCACTCAGGGAAACACGAGAGCCCCACCAGGCTTCTCTGTGCAAGGGAAGCTTTGTAGCAGGCTGTCAGCCAGCCGAGCCTGTTGAGGAAGAGGCTGTCAGGAATATGTGCTGCCAGATGTGTTGCACTGTCCCTAGTGGTAGACACAACAAGAAAGCTGGGAGAAGAGGCAGAGATGGAGGGGCTCCGCAGGGTGCTGAGCCGACTGTCCCCTGCCTCCCAGAGCCGTCAGGATAGGTGTATCTTGAGCTCGCCATTTGCAGCATCAACTTGACAACATAATTCCATCTTTGTATCAGTAAGCAGCTTCTATGTTTTCCTATTTTCTGCTAGCTACAATTTACAAAGGATGTCACAGCACTGGTAAGAAATGCATAAGCAGCCATTTCCTTACTTTTTAAAAGTCATGTTTTGTAAAGATGTATACATTGACGTAGAGAAATCTCTTCTTGGCATTAATTTTACTAATTTTCAGAAAGTATGCTTTTACCATTTTACATTTGGTTTCCTTTTATGTCAAGCACACTACTGCTCTTGAAGCATAATGTTTTTCTATATGCGTGTTCCTTTTTTAAGCCTCTCCCCTTCCCCCTTGCTGGTGCTTGGCTGTTGTGTGTGGCTGTGCTTGAGCTTGGCGGGCTGTCTAATGCACACACAGGATGCAGTGAGTGAAGCTTGCTTGGCTGGGGGAGGGTATTGCCACACCAGGAGTCTCTGCTGCACTGACAACTTTAGTCTCCATAGTTAATTTCAGTGATTCCAAAGTCTCTAAAACTATTGCCAGCTAATTTTACAAATAGCTGATGACAACCTAAGTTGAGCTGCATGCCTGCCTGCTACTAATAGTGAAATGTCTCCTTGTGATAAGCAAGAGGTGAAATGAATTTATGCAAGAAAATTTGACCTTAGCTTAAAATAAAAAAAATAAGAATTAACTTCTTAATATGTTTATGCCTTTAATGTATGTGCTTGATTATTTTATAGCAAAATATTTAGCATGACTATCAAAAGACTATCAAGGTGTGGATTATTTGGGGGGACTCTAATAGTTCATTGACAAGACAGCTTAATAAATTATATGTAATTTGTGATGTCAGTAGCACTTAAAATATATTTGGGTGAGATCTTTAATATTCGCACCTTCTCTCTGGCCAAAGGTAAGATTTTTTTATTTTGTTTTGTTTTTTTGCTGGCCTGTATAAGACAGCCATTTGTCATACCAACTACTAAGAAACGGGGAAATTTGGATGGGGAGAAATTTAGATTCAATGTGGCTGTGCTTCACTGGTGGGGGAAATAGCTGATGTGTTTCACATCTTTTGCGAAAATAAGTGATGATAATTTGTGGAAAAGACTAGCTGTTTTCCAGATTTGCTGACTGCCCTTCTGTTGTGTGTGCATGCCATAGTGAATGCGATTCAGAAACAGGGTGGGCCAAAAGTACAGTACACTGCCAAAATAGAAACTGTTGACCCCTCCATGAATTCCCAATGATACTCCCCTCTGATTTCCATCCAGGCATATTCTCAAGATGCCTACCTGAAAGGCAATGAAGCTTTCAGTGGCAATGCCCGCAACATCCCAGAGCCTCCCCCCGTCTGCTATCCCTGGTTGCCTTCTGCACCTTCAGCCGTGGCACAGCCGGTCGAAGCATCTCCTCCGGACTCCTCGCTGAGCAAGCCACAAAGCACTACCCCAGTACTGACGCAACCTGCGCGGGCCTACAGAATGGAAATACAAGTGCCTCCGTCACCAACAGACGTTGCAAAATCCAACACAGCAGTGTGTGTTTGCAATGAAAGTGTAAGGACTGTTATTGTGCCTTCTGAGAAGGTTGTAGATTTGCTCTCCAATAGAAGTAACCACACAGGTCCTTCTCATAGAACTGAAGAAGTGAGGTATGGCATAAATGAGCAGACCTCTCTAAAAACAGTATCAAGAACCACATCTCCACCATCTCCAATTCCCACTGCCCGTGTAATTCATCATTCTGCAGGCTCCAGGTCATTGGAACCTTCCAGAATTCTACTTAAATCTGGCAATTACAGTGGCCATTCAGAAGGTATCGCAAGCGACAGGTCTCACATGGTAGACTCCCCATCGGTGTCTGTTAGTCACTGTTCCCCCAATTCCCATCAGCACATAGACTGGAAAAACTATAAGACTTACAAAGAGTATATCGATAACAGAAGATTGCACATAGGTTGTCGGACGATTCAAGAAAGATTGGATAGTCTGAGAGCTGCATCTCAGAGCACGGCCGACTATAGCCAGGTACCCAGCCGCACTAGCTCGCAGGTACGACGTCGCAGCACTTCTCATGACCGGGTGCCCCAGTCCGTCCAGGTCCGGCAGCGCAGCGTGTCCCAGGAAAGACTGGAAGATTCTTTGCTAATGAAGTATTGTCCACGGAGTGCATCTCAAGGAGCGCTGACCTCTCCCCCTGTTAGTTTTAGTAACCACAGAACTCGGTCCTGGGATTACCTGGAGGGACAGGGCCAAAGTGCAGAGAATGCTGGTTCTGAGGGTCAAACACCCGATTCCAATGGGGAGCGGAAGCAGACGTACAAGTGGAGCGGGTTTACAGAGCAGGATGACAGGCGAGGCATTTATGAAAGAACAAGGCAGCAAGAAATTCATAAAACTTTCCGGAGTTCGAATTTCTCCGTGGCCCCGGGTGTGCTTAGTGTGGATAATAGGCGAGTGACTGGTCGGGGAATGGGAGCTGTGGCACAGTTTAAAAAGACCCCCTCCGATCTGAAAACGCTACAGTCAAGCAGAAATGTTCCCGCTGCTTGTGGAGTGTCCCTGCCCCGGGGTGTCTCCCAAGACCGATCACCTCTTGTGAAAGTCCGAAGCAACTCTCTGAAAGCGCCCTCCGTGCACGCCACGAGACCATCTTTCAGCCAGAACTCATTGGTTTCCGTCAAGGACCACAGACCGGTAAATCACCTGCATCAAAACAGTGTGCTCAGTCAGCAGCCATGGTTCAGAGCTGGCAGTGGCCCCGAACACCAGGTGGACCCTGCGAAACCCCCCTCTTTCTCCGGAGCTCCTGCCAAGCCCGCTGCGCGGGAGAGCGAGAACTCCACCACTGCCAACGTGCAATCGCCCGTCAGTCCGAGGGATGCAGACCTAAACATACAAGAGGCTGAAACCCAGCAGTCGCACACTGTAGACACGAAAGAGACGGTCGTCCTGCGAGAAAAACCTCCATCTGGTCGCCAAACGCCACAGCCTCTGAGGCACCAGTCTTACATCCTGGCAGTGAACGACCAGGAGACGGGCTCTGACACCACCTGCTGGCTGCCCAACGACGCCCGCCGAGAGGTCAACATCAAGAGGCTGGAGGAAAGGAAGGCCTCCAGCGCCAGTCCGCCCGGGGACTCCTTGGCATCCATCCCGTTCATAGGTGGGTAGTTCACCCAGGGCCGGCGTCGACGGGTTGGCATCAGCCCACACAGTGACCAAGAAACATCCAGAAAGTCCTTCCAGGTCAGCAGGTCTAGAAACCTTGCACTGGGATTTTAAAATCCCTGTTCAGGATTTTGTAAGCTATGCTTTAACTAGAGCCATAAGCTTTTTACCAGCTTAAAAGTCAATCCTAGCATCAATTATGCTTCAGATAACAGCTACTTGAGTACAATTGTGTTTCTTTTTTTCAGTTTTAATTTTGATGAAACAAATTCCTGCCAGCAAGGGCCTAGAGAATCAGCAATCCAGTTTGGTTCATTGAACTAAAAAACCAAGCCTAGCCACTTGGGTCATTAATCAGAGCTTCATGTACACAGTGCCTTCTCTTTCTAATGTATATTTTGATAGTCCTTACTTGAACTGAGAGAAAAGCACATTTCATTTTTAGATGACTTTGGCCTGGATTTGAGAAAGTCCCTTCAGGTGCAGGCTGATGTCATGACCATGGCCCCCAGCATCCCCTCCAGCCTATCCAGGTGGCAGCCAATAGGATATTTTTCCCATGTCCTCTGGAATTCCCTCTTTCCTTCCCATCCCATCCAGAACTGAATCCAAAAACCTCTCATGGCCTGACTGATCGGGGATAGCCTCCCAGCACTGGTCCACGTCTCTCATGCCCTCCTCTTAGAATCCTTTGAAGTCTTTCTGCTACATCCCTGCTGCTGTAGGCCATGCCACCCCGGGGCTGGCCGGCTCCTTCCCAGTCTGGACATCTGGCACAGACACTCAGAAGGCTGTTCCTCCCCTCACTACAGCTGGCTCTCTGACCAGTGTTACCACCTCCCGGCTGGCCTATCCAAAAAAAAGGACCACACATATACATGGGACTCCATTTGCTTCCTCTTTAGCACCCATGTGTATCATCTTAACACTTGTTTCCACTTGATATAGTTTGTGGTTTTTCTTTTTTACTCACATTTCTCTGTAAAACTAAGCCAAGGTTTTAAATCTGGTTTACTTGTATGTCCCTCAGGTCTAGAACACTGCATTCTATAAATAATTGTGGAAATAATGGTTCAACGATAACTTTGAGATGATACTTAGATAGCAAAACAAAGTTCTGGTCACAATGATTATACAACACCACCAACACATTATCAGCTAACAGGGTTATGATTTATGTTCTTAGAATTGTTTACACGTTGTCAATGAGATTTAAGGTAGAAAAGTTCAGTAATTTTCGGGGATCCCTCAGTTAACAGGTGATGGAGATAGGGACTCTGGCATTGCCTGCTTCAGTCTTGTCATGGAGCATGGCTCTAGATGGCAGCCAATCAGAGTGTGTGGAAAAGCCTTTCAGAAAAGAGTTCCCCCAACTTGTATAGAATATATATCTCTTGAGCAGTGTTTCAGAGTGTTTCTTTTCCAGGGAACCTTGTGTGAAGCTGTTAGTCTATTGCGCTATCATTGGATGCTCTGAAACTTTAAAAAAGGCTCACTAACTCACAATTTTTATTGCTTTGAATATCCAAGTTACAATAAGTACTGTGGAGATTCTCAACCTTTCGCTCATATCTTCTAGGTTTCAGGCCAAGCTGAGCAAACAGTAAAATCTTATAACTAGGACCTTAAATATCATATAGATAGTTTTGAAGAAAGTTAATGATTATTTTTGTGATATCTATAAAACATAAAAAAATGCTACAACCTGTGGCTCCCTTTTGCAGGCCTCTGAGATCCTACCAAGCAGTAATCTCACATTTTCTTCTTACGTAGTAGGAACAGTGCAGTCTGAGTACCCTGGAGTTTTTACTAACCTGGGCTGGTGGCATTGCCAGTGTTGCCTGCGGTTACTGAGAAGTATATGAACAACCAAGAGAGAAAGTTGGTGAAAATGTCATCTAGAGACTTAAGTAATCCTATAAATACAATCAATGGAAACATACCATTTTATTAATCATTGAGGATGAAGCTGCTCACCAAATTGATCTTTTTTTTTTCTTTGAGGCACATTAAAGTCTCCTTCATAGTGAAAGGCATCCCTTGTTTTATGAAGCACTGGTTTTTTTGGAGCTACCCAGCAGAAGAATGCCATCATAGCCCCTCATTTCTGAAGGTTAGCATATGGCATGTGCTTCTGGTGGGATCAGTCATGTGAGGGTATGTTGTGAACTTAGGTCTATGGAGAAATAGAATTAAAAGCGAATGTGCATTTGCCACGACTTATGTGCAGTGCCCTCATACAGCCCTTGAGTCAGAGGAATAATCAGAAGGGAGGCCCTGACAGAGTATATGTCCCTGTGTTGCTGTGTGTGAACATATCCCATTAATGTGATCCCAGAGGTGGAGTGACACCCACCTCCTGAGATTTTTCAGACATTTTCTATTCTTAGCGAATCAGATGAAGCAAAAACACTGAGAAAAAATATCAGTATATAATGTTTTGAAGGATTTATGTATTTGAGTGTCAGAGTTGGGAGAAGGGGTTGGTGGGGAACAGGAAGGAGACACAGAACTGGTGTCCTCTAGTACATGCCCCGCCCCCCCCCCCCCCCCGCCCAAATGGCTGTGAGCCAAGGGCCAGGAGCTTCCTCCACATCTCCCATATGGGTGCCAGGGGCTCAAACACTTAGATGGTTCTCCACTGCTTTCCCAGACACATTGGCAGGGAGCTGGATGGGAATGGAGCAGCTCGGACTCCAACTGGCACCCTTATGGGATGCCAGTGTCACAGTCAGTGGCTTAACCCACTGCATGACAGCATCAGCCCCTCTGTGTCTAATTTTCACAGCCTAACGTCAAAACTATCTTTTTATGCTTACTACATTTGTATTTGGATTTTCTGTCTGACCTCGAAGGGAAAAAAATATATTACTCTGCTCTAAAGACCAAGTTCAATACATAAATACCTACAAATGTCCAATCATTACAGTTGTCAGTGTTTCACTGGGTGTAAGTTATGAAATTGTTAACTGCAATTCTTTTACTGTTGGATTCTAGGATTTTATTTGGTGTAGAAGTGTTTCTATTGCCAGTCTAGTTGTGTAAAGTACGTTCTTTACAGAAGGTAGACTAGATACCAGTGCTGACATAAATCACAACGCTGCTTTGTGCAGGAGTGCTAATTGCACTCCTCTTGAAGCCCCGTGCTCAGATACACTGGTTTGCAGACACGTTTGATCCTCCTCTCTCTGTGTTGGCCGCCTCACACTGCTGACATGAATTTGCTAGGAAGAACAGAAAATGACACTTCTCAGAAAATTCATTTAGAATTTCCCATGGGTTTGTAGACTGCAGAACACACCTAGGGGAGTGTTAGCATGTTGTACATGCTGTTTTATGTACCAGTTAAGGTAAAAGTTGGATGTTTGAACCGGGTGATGGCATCTCTGGCCGGCTCATATGCAGGGTGACAGGCCTTACTGCTTCACGATCAGATCCATCGCTTGCTGACCACAGACTACAAGTCTGCATTACTATGTTAATGTCCTTGTAATCTTTCTTCTTCAGTATGCAGTGTGTTATAGTCTTTCTTACTGTGTCACTTTTTAAAAAAAATCATTTACTTACTTGAAAGGCAGAGTAAAAGAGAGAGAGTGCTCCCATCCACTCATTACTTCCCCAGCTTGCTGAAACAGCTTGAGCTGGGTGCGTCTGAAACCAGGAGCCAGGAACTTCATGCAGGTGGCCCATGTGGATGAAGGGGCCAAGACACTTGGTGCTTTCCCAGGCACATTAGCAGAGCCGGATGGCACTCAAACCACTGTCAGTATTTGGGAGGCCAGCATTACATGTGACAGCTTTATCAGCTATGCCACAGATCGAGGCCTTACTATATCCTCTTAGTTTAATAAATGCAGTTTCTTCAGTATGCTATTTTTGTCAACGCTTTGATCTGATGTTCGGTAATTTATTTTAAGTAAGATTTTCCTGGGGATTCCAGAATTTTTTTTTTTAGGATGACTTTTTTCATTTGGTTTAACCTAAAGAAATAATGAGAAAATGGCATTGTTAAAGATGAGCTGCTACTTGTAAAGAAAGAACTTCTGCTGCATATTAAGATAATTTAACATGGTGTGACTGCCATTCCTTGTGTAGTATGCAAGAAAAGGGTATTTATCACATTTGAATATAAGATAATGACTGATAGTTCGTCAGCATTTGGCATATTTGAGGTATACCTTGGCATTTTAGATCTTTTTTCAGTCAGTGCCCCTGCTTTTGGAGTTGGAACCAAAATTGTGAAGAATTTTTGCATTATATGGCTACTATTTTGGAACTACTCATCTGATATTTTGTCTATCTGATTCCCATTTCGATGTGGTACTAATTGATTGGCAAAAGGGATAATTCATTTTTACAGGCCATGTTTTCAGAACTACTTGGAATTATTGAAATAATGATCATGTAGTAGATCTTTTTTTAGAGCAGACCAAATGCTTCCTTCATTGGCGCTCTAGTAGGCTATTGTTAAACCAGCAAGGCCGGCGAGGGGATTGCTTTCCTGTTGTGATGCATTCTTTGCCTTTTTCCCCCCAGATGAGCCCACCAGCCCGAGCATTGATCATGACATTGCACACATCCCTGCTTCTGCCGTAATTTCAGCCTCCACCTCTCAAGTCCCCTCCATTGCAACTGTCCCTCCCAGCCTCACGACCTCCGCTCCTTTAATCCGAAGGCAACTGTCACATGACCATGGTAGGTTTAAAGAGCGGCTGTGCAAACAGCACCTTGCTCTCAGTTCCTCACTGAGAATTGCAGACAGCGTCTCTTCACCAGAAACTGAATCTGGGAGCAGACTCCACAAATGTCTCAGTGTTGGGTTTCAATTACAGAGTCTGTCGGGACCCCTGGCCTGGATGCCCAGCCCACCTCAAAGACGGAAAGGTCCAAATCCTACGACGAGGGCCTGGATGACTACAGAGAAGATGCCAAATTGTGAGTCTCAGGTGTAGTACGTTAAATCTTTGTGTATGCATGAGTATTCAGCATAACTTTGACATGTAAATGCTGAATCTAATGTCTGTCTTGTATTTTATAACTGTAAAATTGTACATGCAAATAAAATCAGTTATTTGATAACAAACCCAGTTAAGCTTTACAAATTTTTAAAAATCAAGTGATAAGCAGACATGATATTAGCATATTAGATATGCTCAGTTGGTCAGTTCTCTGATATATTTGCTTTTGTATAATTATAGAGTGATTCCAGGCACTGAATCGCATATGCACATGCATCTACCCACATGCCTTATATATAGTATGTGAGTGATTTAACGGTATGTGCACAGATTTTAGAGTTTCTGTTTCATGATTGTTTCATTTCCCATTGAATAGTTGGGTCATAATACATTTAACCAGTATTGTGTCTCCCATTATTAGACATATAGATTCTTATGCTGCTACAGTTAATACGTCACTGGCTATATCTGTGCATACTTCAATTAGCATAAGTGTGATTTCAGTTGAAAACAGGACTGTATCCATGAGTGGGCGGGTGTATTTTTCGTATTTGTGTCTGTCAGACACTGCCTGTACAGAGCAGATGAGGTCACGTTGCTCCCAGCAGCATACGGGTTCCTTTCCATTCCTTTCACCAGCACAGTGTGGCATTTACCTTCGATTCTTGGTGGCCCTAATGGTGTCATATTACAGTTGTGATCCAAAACCTTGTCATCTATTGAGTACCATTTCATAGATCAGATGCTTGTATTCCTTTTTGGATAATTGCCTTTTTGTTTTTTTCTGTCCATTCACTACTGATTTTTCTTCTATGTGCTTCTACATAAATAAAATTAGTCCTCTGATAAATATTGGAAGTTTGTTCCCACTCACTAGTGTTCATTTCTGGGCAGGTGTTCGACCACAGTGGGTTCAGATGCCATTTAGGCTGCCTGCAGCATCCTGTGTGAGAGGGCCTGGGCCAGAGTCCATCTCTGCGCACCAGCTTCCTGCTCAGTCTCAGCTGTCATGGCCATTCTGGAAAACCAAGATGGGAGATATCCCTTTCTTTCTGCCATTAGCCCTTCAAATAAATAAACTTCTTTTTTCTATTTTTTTAAAAGATTTATTTTTATGGGAAAGTCAGATATACAGAGAGGAGGAGAGATAGAGAGGAAGATCTTCTGTCCGATAGCTCACTCACTCCCCAAGTGGTTGCAACGGCTGGAGCTGAGCTGATCCGAAGCCAGGAGCCTCCCATGGGTCTCCCACATGGGTGCATGGTCCCAAGGCTTTGGGCCGTCCTCGGATGCTTTCCCAGGCCACAAGCAGGGAGCTGGATGGGAAGTGGGGTTACCAGAATTAGAACCTATGCATCCCAGTGCATGCAAGGCGAGGACTTTAACCACTAGGACTAAACTTACCACGCCAAGTTTTCTAGTTAAAAAAAAAAAAATCAAGGAAAATTGTTCAGCGTGTTTCTACAGTTGTATTTGGTAATTTTTTCCCATAGCTACTGAATTTTTAATTTTACCAAAAAGCCTGTCCAGAATTATTCCATGTCCACTTCTCAAATTTGCATGTTGTTGTTGTGATAGCAACAGCTTTGATTTGTTTGGAGCTAGTTTCTCATTAGTGAGATGGAAAGCCAACTCTGCTTTCCAATCTCTTTTGTCGCCAGAGCAGCTATCGCCACTGTCCCCTTTCTTACCTGTTCTCCGTATTGTGTTATTCTATGCAATTACTGAGTTTCATTTGGGACTCTGCTGTTTGACTCATGCCCACGTTAACTAGCTTCCAATAAATCTAGCAGTGGCATAATCACTTTTCAGTAGGTGGCTATTGTCCATCATTACTTGGTTTGTTTAGAATCTTGCTATTTTTGTTGATGTTCTATTTCAACCTCAAATTCAGGCTTTCTAGTTCTTGAATCCTTATTCATATTTTTCATTGACACATAGTTACAGATCGATTTAGTGAAAGTTGATAACTTTTATACTGAACCTTCTGTCAAGGAGTAGTTTGTCCTTTTTTATGATCTCATCTTTAAGAACCTCTGAAAGTTATGGTTATTTCCATTCCTATAAAACTCATGGGGGCCAGTGTTGTGGTACAGTGCGTTAGCTGCCATTCATGACATCAGTATCCATATTGGAACACCAGTTGGAATCCTAGCTGCTCCAATTTCAACCCAGCTCCTTGCTAATGTATTCAAGGCGGCGACAGAAAACAGCCCAAGTACTTGGGGCCCTGCCACCCATGTGGGAAACCCCAATAAAGTTCCACTTCGCTGGCTTTGGTCTGGCCCAACCTGCCTCTTACAGGCATTCAGGTATCCAGTGGACACAAGATCTCTCTCCCTTCCCTCTCTGTTACTCCCTTTCAAATAACTACATTTTTTGGGCCTGGCATGGTGGCGCAAGTGGTTAAGGTCCTCGCCTTGCACGCCCGGGATCCCATATGGGCGCCGGTTCTAATCCCGGCAGCCCCACTTCCCATCCAGCTCCCTGCCTGTGGCCTGGGGAAGCAGTCGAGGACGGCCCAACCCTGCACCCACGTGGGAGACCCGGAAGAGGCTCCTGGCTTCGGATCGGCATAGCACTGGCCGTTGCGGCTGCTTGGGGAGTGAATCATTGGACGGAAGATCTTCCTCTCTGTCTCTTCTCCTCTCTGTATATTCGCCTTTCCAATGAAAAAATAATAAAAATAAATCTTTAAAAAAAATAACTACATTTTTTAAAAAAGCAAAACAAAAAACAGTTCTTTCTGGACAAGGTACTCAAGGGGGTTTTGTGTGAGGTGTGGCTGGGGTGGGTGACCAAGCTGGCAGGAATTTCCCTGATGCCATAGGGTTTGTGAGCCATCTGCTTGTCCCCCTTATGGCTGGTGCACACAGCCTCCTTTTGGGACCCTTGGCCACCCCCTCCTGAGCTCCAGTGCCTATCCCTATTGCTCCCAGCAAAGGACCAAGGGTTGTGTGGTCTCTCAGAGCAGGCATGGTGGTTTAGCTTGGGCTGTGCATTCCATGCTTCCCTGTATGTTGTTTACTTCATGTCATGGTCTGGATTGTGGCTCAGTATTTGTTGATACTGCAGAAGACGGGCATCACAGCTTAAAATTCTTCTAAGTTCCATTAATGAAGTTTGAAATAAGGAAAAAAAGCAACTTTGCCCTCTAATATAAGTTAACTGATTTTGTAAACTATAATTGATGTGAACCTGTCTTCTGAAGCTCTAAGCCTTTTGTGTAGCAAAGGTTAGTAAGTTCTTGAATTCAGCCTTGTGTTTGAAGGGGAAGGTGTTGGGTGGTGACCCGGTGCTTGTGCCATTTGTGACACACGGGCGCCACCTGCTGGCTGAGTGCAGATGCTCTGTTCTTTGGCACCGACTGCCTCTGGCCACAGAAGATCCTTAAACTCTGCACCACAGTAACTGGAAGCCTAAGGTTGAATCTCAGTAGTTGTTTCTTTGGTCTTTAAAAAAAAATCTCACACTGACACTGTAAGCAAAACATCTTACAATTTACTAGGCCAACCAAGAAAAGTTTTATAATTGAATTTGAGTTTCACTGTTTGATGGTGGGCCTTTAGTGTAGTGGCTCCTTGGTACCCTGGCTCACTGTGTTGAGGGCCTGGATTCGAAAACTGTTTGCGTTTCTGATTCTGGCTTTCTGCTAATGCATGCCCTGGGAGGCGGTAGGCTCAAGTGTTGGAGTCCCTTGGGTGATCAAGCCCAATCTGTTGCAGGCATTTGGGGAATGAACCAGTCATTCTGTCTCTACGTCTCTGCCTTTCATATGAAAAAACCTAACACTGAAAAACAAAATTAGCTGTCTGTCATGTTGAACTGAGAGCATCTACTGTGGTTAGTTTATGTGTCAGCTCATCAGTGAAGGGTTAATTATAATAGATTTTTACATCTTTATGAAGTTTTTGATTACAAATGTTTGTGTACTTTTTTTCCAACAGGTCCTTTAAGCACGTGTCTAGCCTGAAGGGAATCAAGGTTGGTAGCCAGCGTCCTGAAACGCCAGGGAAATGAGACATGTTTCTGTTGACTTTCATCCACTGTATCTCTTCCTGCAGAAGTTTTTTTCTAATCCATTAGACATTTAATAGTTAAAGTTTACACCTTTTTTCCTGAAAGTATCAGTACTTTGGGAAAGTAGGTATGAAGTGTTCTTTGATAATGTCTTATTTTTTTTTTTTAAGATTTATTTATTTATTGGAAAGTCAGATATACAGAGAGGAGGAGAGACAGAGAGGAAGATCTTCTGTCCGATGATTCACTCCCCAAGTGAGCGCAACGGCCAATGGTATGCCGATCCGAAGCCAGGAGCCAGGAACTTCTTCCGGGTATCCCATGCGGGTGCAAGCTCCCAAGGCTTTGGGCCATCCTCGACTGCTTTCCCAGGCCACAGGCAGGGAGCTGGATGGGAAGTGGAGCTGCCAGGACTAGAACCGGCGCCCATATAGGATCCCGGCGCATTCAAGGCGAGGACTTTAGCTGCTAGGCCACGCCGCCGGGCCCTGGAATGTCTTCACATGTTCATTACACAAACTAGGCTCATTCATCTGAACTATGTAACTGCTCGGTAGTTATTCTGTCCTTTGTTGTGTGTGTGTGTTTCTGTCTTCTGCCCTTTCCTTGTACCTTACTGGAAAAGTGGACACTGTTCCACAGGTGTTACCTTGTTCTCCAACCCCACACTGTCACGCACCCTCATTTGTGCCCACACACTCTGCCTTCATCCTTACCTCACACTGGGAACATGGTCGCAGTAGAAGCCAACTCCTGTGCCGCTGTGACCACTGTCCCACCCTTCACCAGTGCCTTCCCTCGCCTCATTCTGCATCGGCCACAGGCTTTCTGTAAGAAGGGACTTTGGAAAATTCTGGGAAAACCGGATTAAGGGGGCTTGCTTTTGCTGTGGGGGAAAAAAAGCCCTTTTGAAACCCATGTGGCGTTTTCTTGTAAGATCATTTTCCATGAGCTCCTTGAGGATCCCTCTTAGCAAACAGTTGCCTTCGTGGAATCCACATCCTGTATTTGATTCCTGCCATTTCTTCTCTCATAGCAACACGCCATGAAAACATTGCTTATAGCATCCACTGTCTCATAGCCTAAAACATCAGAATGCCCCTGGGGTTGGAAGTGACTTTCACCTCCCAGAATGAATGGTTATTTGGGTTTTTACCTCTTTGGCCTTCCAGTAGTATTCCCAGCCAGCCTCCCACCTTCCAGGAACATGTGGTTATGTGGGCTCCTGTCTTGGCATGCTTTCTGCTTCCATCTTCTCCACCTCATCTGCCTGTAGCAAGTATCTATAGTGTGGGGGTGCCCAGAGCTTGTTCCTTCCTACCCCGCCTTCTTACCCTCTCTGATATCCCTGGTGATCTCACGCAGGTGTTCCTGGTCCTCTGGCTGTGATTGTCCCCCTACTCCTTGCCCCTGGTGCCAACGTGGTATCGTCCTGTGGGTCTTAGGGAGCAGTTCAGGCATACACAGCCACTACACCTAGATGCCCCCAGTCCACCTGTCCCTTAGCTTTCCTTGTCTCACTATGCCCACTTCTTCTCACCCCTGTGCTCAAGCCACAGACTGGGGAGTGTGCCTTGTTTTTCTTTTCCTGCCCCCCCATCAGATCTTCCCACGCCCTCTTTAGTTGCTTGCCACATCTGTACACTTTGCTGTTTTCTCTTCGGCTGCTTTAGTTTAAGCCACCGTCATCCCTCACCTGACTTGCTACGGTGACATTCTCTTTTCATGCTTGTCCCTTTAGAATCCTTTCTCTCATGGCAGCCAGAGGGACCCCTGAACTGATCACATCATTGCACGCCACTGGTGTGTCACTTCCTGGCTGCTGTGCATACCTGCACAGCCTTCAAGTCCCTGAGCTCTCGATAATGAGCTGTGCCACTCACGCTGAACAGCGGGAATGTGAAATGGTAATGACCAGTATGCACTGTCAGTTCTCCCTGCACACTTCTTCCCTCTGCCTTTTCGTGGGTAGCACCTCTTTGATTTTCTCTCCAGATTTCATCTGAATGTCATTTCTGCAGAGGCCTGGCCCCCACCACTGCCACAGACTTACTCCTCAGCCAGCTCTTGCTCCATCCTGCTGTTCCCTTCCTTTCAATGGAACAAATCACAATAGCACTGTCATCTTTCTTCAGTGTTGTTTTGCCATTAAAATGTGTACTCAAGAGAGTAGGAGAAACACTCATTCAAGTGGCTTTTCAAAAGGGGCTGGGAGCAGGTTAAACTGCATCTTGAGCACCTGCATGCCATCTTGCCATGCCTGGGTTTCTATCGCCACTTCTGTCTTGCTTCCTGCTGATACACACATAAGCTCGTCAGATGATAATGCGAGTGTGTGGGTAACCTCCACGTCTCTCCCTGGCTTTGTCCTGGCCCAGCCTCATCTCCTGTGGGCACGTAAGGAGGGAACTAGCAGGGGAAGCACACTCCTGCTCTTCCAAATGTCGTCTTAAAAATGACGGCAGTCAATGCAAACTTTGAATACGGCTGGATATTTTTCTAATGTAATTGATCAAGTCCGGGCTTTTCGCATGGAACTTGAAACCTTCACAGCAAAGGAACGTTGGTGTGCAAATATTTACAAAGGCAAAAGCTGACATTTTCCTGTTTTCTTGGCCTTTTCTGCAGCTCACTGACAGCCAGAAGTCATCAGAAGACTCAGGATCCAGGAAAGACTCCTCCTCAGAGGTCTTCAGTGACGCTGCCAAGGAAGGGTGGCTGCATTTCCGGCCCCTTGTCACCGACAAGGGCAAGGTAGGACATGTGTTCGGCAGCCTGGGCATCAGAACAGCAGGCCTGGCACAAGAGGCATGGAGTCTAAATATTCTTAAGAAAGCCTTCCTTGGGTGTGGATGTTGTTGCTTAGCCATATGTTTTTGATCAGCTTTAACTGCTGATTCATACATTTGAATTGGGAATTCCTTTTATCATCCACAAGCTCCCAGACCTTAATCTTACTCAAAAGGTTTTTCTGATGCCCTTTTTTCCCCTTGTGTCCTATTCCCTTAGTATTTTTAATGCATTTTGCAATGTTTACTTTATTTGAATTACTCTGTTCATCTTAACCTTCCCAGTTAGGTTTAAGTTGGGGCTTTACCACCCTTGATTTTTACATGAATTCACTTGGCTTGTGCTTCACAATTCCTACCCTTCCTCTCCTAAGAAAAGCATTTGGAGGTAAATCAGACACCTGCTGCGCCAGGTGGATGTGCCCGTGTGTGAATGAAGGGTCCCGAGGAGGTAGACAGGTGGTGAACGTCAGGAGCCACGGGGTGTCTTCCAGAGAGTCGGCGGGAGCATCCGGCCGTGGAAGCAGATGTACGTGGTGCTGCGGGGCCATTCGCTGTACCTGTACAAAGACAAGAGAGAGCAGCCGACTCCGTGCGAGGAGGAACAGCCCATCAGCGTGAACGCCTGCCTCATCGACATCTCCTACAGCGAGACCAAGCGCAAAAACGTGTTCCGGCTCACCACGCCCGACTGCGAGTGCCTGTTCCAGGCGGAGGACCGGGACGACATGCTGGCCTGGATCAAGACCATCCAGGACAGCAGCAACCTCAACGAGGAGGTGCGTGGTCAGCCTGGGGTGGGGGGTGCTGATGCCCGCATCCCCAAGAGGGCGGTCCCAGTGCAAATTCTAACATGCTGTCATTTCCGGAAGAGTTGACCAGAAGGTCCACTCAGCTGTCCCTGTTCTATTCACTTAAAGTCATGAGTGCCGAAGTAAGGAATGAGCTGCCCAGACCTGTGCAAGGGCAGGCCGGGTTCCTGTGTGTGCCTTCCTGAACAGATTGTTCCAGATCTGTTTCATTCCCTGGAAGACAAGATTCTCATAATGTTTATATCAGAGTGAAAAAGCTTCTTAGAACAAAGTGCTATGTAAACACAGGAACTGATGGATGACTTTGGCTCGTGGAAGAGTGTAGCCTCTGATGGTTCCAAAAAATCGTTTCTGAGAAAGCTCCCAAAGAAGCATTGCAAGGCTTTGTTTTGGGTTTTGTTTGCTTTTAAGGCTTGTTAATTTGAGAGGCAGAGTCAGAGAGAGACAGGACAGATATTCCATCTGCTGGTTCACTCCCTGAATGGCTGCAACAACTGAAGCTGGGCTGATCTCTTGCTGGAGCCCAAGCACTTGGACCATCTTGCAGCGCTTTTTCAGGCACGTTAGCAGAGAACTGGTTGAGAAGTGGGATAGTCACGGTTCAGACTGGCACCCAAGTGGGATGCTGGTGCAGCTTTAGCTGCTATGCCACAACACTGGCCCCAGTTTTTCTTTATAACAATTAATGTTAAGGGACACTGAGTTAGTCTGTTTCCAAATTGGCAAGATACTGTCACAGCCAAAATGTCAGTAGTAAAAGTAGGTTGTTTTTTTTTTAATTTTTATAAAAGGTTTGTTTATTTTCATTGGAAAGTCAGATATACAGAGAGGAAGAGAGAGAGAGAGAACTTCCATCCGATGGTTCACTCCCCAAGTGGCCACAGTGGTCGATGCCGCACCAATCTGAAGTTGGGAGCCAGGAACCTCCTCCATGTCTCCCACACAGGTGCAGCGTCCTAAGGCTTTGGGCCATCCTTGACTGCTTTTTTAGGCCCTAAGCAGGAAGCTGGATGGGAACTGGAGCTGCTGGGATTAGAACTGGCACTAATATGGGATCCCGGCGCATTTAAGGCGAGGACTTTAGCTGTTAGGCTACTGCGCCTGGCACGTAAAAGTAGTTCTTAAAGTATATATAATTAAGATCTTAATCACAGCTAGATTTTTCTTGACAAAGCTTAGCTTTTGTTCGAATATTTTTTTCTCGAACATTGATGCATTTTTTTTTTCACTCTTCTCCCTTTCCAGTCCCATTGTCAGAACCAACAAACAAGGACGAAGTTCTTTTCCCTTGTTCACAGTATCGAGCAGCTCCCGCATTGACTGTGAAGTTATGCAGGTCGGATTCTCAGTCATTGCCGTTCATTCTGACTCAAATTATGAAAACATACTGTGAGAGAACGCCTGTGATTTTCCTTTAGTAGCTTGCTCTCTTCCTTATCTGCAGTTAAAAATTAACACCAGATCCTTATCAATACAACCTTTGTTCCACAGCCACCCATGGGAAAGAGAGAGTCCGACCTGAGGTTCTGTACTGTAACCAAGGAGAATAGTATATAGATTGTAACTCTAAGGTGTTCTTGATTAATAAGCACCTGCAGGCACCCTGCAGGCAATAAAAAGTCTGTTTCCGTGCTTGATGACTTCATCAGTGACACAGGGCTGTTTCCAGGACTGGATGAGGGAATGCTTATCAAGAATATTGCCTAGTGCCTGTGAGATAAGCCCATCAGTGTCAGCCGCCACACCCCCACCGTCATCAGCGTGCTAAGGCAGGTCCCCCGCCCTCCATACACACAGTTTCATGGTTGAGAAAGTAATTCACCAAGAATGTACCACATGTCAGACACTGTGGTCAGCATGCTGCATGAAGGTCAGTCAGTACTGGGAGGTATTCTAAAAAGGCAGAAACTGGTAGAATTTTCCCAAAATCAGGTAGCTGTGTTGGGGCTGGGGTTTAAATCCAGGCTGTCTCATTGTTGATCTTAACCATAGGACTCCCAGCTGCCAGACTAGAACAGTCAACTTAATGTTGTTCTTAGTCAACTGAGTGGGCATTCACTGTCAAAATGAGACCAGTTAAAAATTGAAGACATATGTCAGTGGGTATTTGAAAAAAAAAAAGAATATTTTAGGATAAATTCTAGTTTTACCATATAACATCAAAGTTAATCTGCTACGTTTAAAAAAATTGTTGAGGCTTTTCTTTTCTGCTGTTTATGATACTAACTGGCTCATTATGTCCCTGGCCTACTGATAAACCATTCATAAATTCTGTCAGAATTTTTCCACTGTTACTGAATGGTATTTTGTTTTTAAATGATGGTCATTGTTTCTGGTATTTATGAAAGAAAAAACTGGTCCTCGGTCTTCCCAGTCATTAGTTAATCAAGTATCAGCCTCTTACTCCTCACTGGTACTCATCTAGATCTTGTACAATCCAGAAAACTCTGGGCAGTCAGGGAAGGGCAGAGAGGCACTTGGAACCTCCGTCACATGGTGGTGACTCGGAAACCCTGGGAACAGGTGATGGCATCAATGCTGAGCAAGCCTGCCACCGCCATGGCAAACTGAACACACAGGGGTTAGAGCTGACTTTCTGCTGTCACCTCTGCAGGACACAGGTGTGACCAACAGGGATCTCATCAGTCGGAGGATCAAAGAATACAACAGCCTCATGAGGTGAGCATCCCAACCTGCCTGCCCCCACAGTGCATTTGCATGTGGGAGAGGAGATGGGGAAGAAATGTGCACTTCTCTCCACAGCAAAGCAGAACAGCTGCCAAAAACCCCTCGCCAGAGCCTCAGCCTCAGGCAGACTTTGCTTGGTGCTAAATCAGAGCCAAAGACCCAGAGCCCACACTCTCCAAAAGAGGAGTCGGAGCGGAAACTTCTCAGTAAAGGTACTGGCGTTCCCTGCTCTGTGTTGCCCAAGGGTGGCCACGCTGGGATTGTAAAGCTGTCGTCATGTCCTCCGTGGCCGCCATAGGCCTGGCCTTGGCCAGTGAGGGGCCCTTCCCTTTAAGGTGAAGGAGAAAGGCAAGGAAAATACAGCCCTTACATAAGAGACAGTACTAACGTGATTTGCACAGAGATCCAGGTGCTGTCATGAGGAAAAACCAGCTTTTTCCTTTTGCTAGAGTCTCACTAAGGGAGGGGGGTGGCAGGTGTTTTGATGTATCAGGCTAAGTTGCCACGTGGGGTGACTGCATCCCATATTCCCATGTGGGAGTGTCTGGGATCAACTGCAGCCTCCACCTTCTGATCAGCTCCCTACCTTGGGAGCAGTGGAATGCTTAAGGACTTAAGTCCTTGCCATCCACATGGGAGACACAGCGGGAACTCCTGGCTCATGCCTTTGGCCCAGTTGTGATGGGAATCTGTGGGTGAACCAGCGGATGGGGGATCTGCTCTCCCTGTCACTGGGCCCTTCTAAATGAAAATGAATAAACAGTATTCAAAACGATTACTATCAACATGACCCACTGATTCTATTTTCTAAAAGAAGGTCTCGGTACAGATCCTAAAGGGGTCAGGAAGTCTCAGTGATGGAATGATAGCGGTTAAGAAAGGCACATTAGGGGAAGCATGTTATAGGACTGTGGCTTAACCTGTAAGAGTGACTTGAAGAGCAGAGTTAGAAGATTTCCAACCTCTGGTTCACTCTTACAATTGCCACAATGGCTGCAGTGGGGCTGGGCCAGGCAAAAGCCAGGAGCCTGGTCCTCCAGCTAAGTCTCCCACAATGGGTCTGCCTCCACTGCCTTCAAGGTGCGGTAGCAGGGAAGGCTGGGCAGTGAAGCAGCCAGGCCTCGAACCAGCACTCCAGGATGGGACTCTTACGCTGCAAGTGGCAGCTTAACCTGCCATGGCGGGACTCTGGCCCCAGAAAATATTTGTGAAGTTGTAATTTAAACACTCTTGTTTGTGTTTTCTTTATTACATCATCTTACTTTGCATAACAACCCAAAGATGATACCAGTCCCCCCAAAGACAAAAGCACATGGAGAAAAGGCATCCCCCACATCATGAGGAAGACATTTGAAAAGAAGCCTGCTGCTACAGGGACCTTCGGGGTCCGACTGGATGACTGCCCACCAGCTCACACAAATCGGGTAGGAGACTCGGGCAGCTGTTTCTTCAGCTGTAGAAGGGGGGCACCTGGGTAGTTATCTCATCCTATGTTTTGTATTGATCATGAAAGAGTAATTATTCAACCATTAAGAATATGTCCGAGGTCAGTAGGAATTCATGTTCCAGTCGTGTATTTCTGCTTTTAACACCAGAAAACAAGGATTAGATCAAGGAGTTCAGTTTAATGCAGACGCCTATGTGTGTCAGTGTGTACCCAGTGATCTTGTTAAACTTCCTCCCATGTGTTGATTGGCTTTGCACCTCCCCTCTTCTTGACTCTGTTGGGCTGTTCGCTGCTTCACCTCGGCTAATCCTTCTGTTTAAACCTGTGCTCACCCTGTTCTGCCATCCTGAGACCTGTTTCCTTCTCTTTCCTCTTCAGACTGTTAGGGCCCCGAGGGATCTTCTGGTTTGTTTTGACTTATCCAATCTCTTCCCACTGTCTCAAATATCATCTACTAGTTTTATGCCTTCCCTGTTCTCTGTATTACCTATAGCAATTTGTAAGTTTCTTTTTAGAGGATCAGGGACTATGTTAGCTCTGATATGTAAGTATTCACTAAGGATAAGCCTTTGTGTCTACTTCTTATTTTACAGTATATTCCATTAATAGTTGATATATGTTGCAAATTAGTTGAAGAACGAGGTCTCGAATATACAGGTATTTATAGAGTTCCCGGAAATAATGCAGCCATCTCAAGTATGCAGGAAGAGCTCAACAAGGGAATGGCTGATATTGATATACAAGATGATGTAAGTTTGTTCATTTCTGTTTCAATAGAAAACTTAGCCCGTCCTTCTCTTTATGGGAATTGACAATAAAAATGCTGATTCTATTTTGCACATCTAGAAATGGCGAGACTTGAACGTGATCAGCAGTTTACTAAAATCTTTCTTCAGAAAACTCCCAGAGCCTCTCTTCACAAATGGTAAGTTAGCTCCTGGAGAAAGTGCCCACTGAGATGGCACAAATCATGGCAGTTGGAAACCACTGAATATTAATACAAGGAAAATATTTTAGCTAAAGAAAAAAGACCTGGTTCAGGCCTCCTTTATCCTAAAAGCCTAATTATGTACTATTTATCATTTGGATTTTTCTTTCCTGTTTGTTGTAAAATAGTTGTTTTTAACACTTATTTTAAAGGCAGACACACTGAGAGAGAAATCTTTCATCTGCTAGTTTATTCCCCAGTGACATCAACAGCCAAATCTGGGCCATGCTGAAGCCAGGAGCCATGATCTCGACTAGGGTCTCCCATTTGGGTGACAGCAGCCCACAAACCAGGGCTGTCACCTGCTGTCTTCCCCTGGAGTCAGACTGGAAGTGGAGCAGCCAGGACTCAAACCAGCCATCCAGTAAGGGATGCCAGTGTCGCAGATGGTGACTTAGCCTGTTGTGCTACAATGCCGCCCCCCCCCCCACCCCCCCCGCCAAATGATTGTCTAAGGTTCAGTATAAAGTAAGACTATCCAGTCAATCCATGTTTGTACTCAAGTGAATGATGTGTTACTGTTTTGGTCAAAAAACATGGGGCCTGGTAAGGCATCCCTTAATGAAAACATTGCTTTAGTTAAGCTATCTAAAGCACTGAGTTCCATAGATCTAAGGGAGTGGGGGAATCGCAAAAAAGGCAGCATGCATAGAGGGTGGCCTCATCAGGGAACACAAACTCCAGTGAATTTTCTAACACTTGGCAATAAAGCTGAGAAGATCATTAAAAACATCAAAATATAAATTTACATGTGGGAACCTTCCATGTATTCTTCTACCGGTTGTGGTTTAAAATCAAACCTCAGGGCCCAACATTGCGGCTCAGCAGGTAAAGCCACCCTTCGTGCCAGCATTCCATATGGGTGCTGGTTCAATTGCCAGCTACTCTGATTCCAATCCAGCTCCTTGCTAATGCACCTTAGACAGCAGCAGAGGCTGGCCCAAGTGCTGGGGTTCCTGCAGCCATTTGGGGAGTTAACCAGTAGATGGAAGTTCTCTTTCTCTTTGAATCCGCCTTCAAATTAAAAACAAACATAAAAACTCAGTTTCCCAAATCAATTTAAGGTGTTGTTATTGTTGTTATCAGATAAATACGCTGATTTTATTGAAGCCAATCGTAAAGAAGATCCTCTTGACCGCCTGAAAACCTTAAAAAGACTAGTAGGTATTATTTTATATATTTGGAAATACAACCGAAATTCAACATTTAAGACTGCTCATGAAATGCTATCTTTCAGATTCATGACTTGCCTGAACATCATTATGAAACACTTAAATTTCTCTCAGCTCATTTGAAGACAGTGGCAGAAAACTCAGAAAAAAATAAGGTATGTGAATGAATCGCTTGAGTTTAAAAAATGTGCTTCACTGTGTCATGGCAGGTAGACGAAGATGGGTTTGCAGGATGGGATGCTGAGCCTGGCAATGAAAATGCTGCCTTCATCCAGGCCCCTGGGTCCAGGCCCCAGCTCCTGACTGCAGCTTCCTGGACCTGGGTTCTTGCCAGTCAGTGGGAGTCTTCGAGTGTTTCCAGCTTTGATCCTTGGCGAATCTGCCAGCTGATGGGAGCTCACTGTCTCACAAGTAAAATTTTTAAAATTAATTTTAGGGTACAGTTCCATAGGCTCTGGGATTTCCCCTATAATTACATCATCCTATTTAAGCTTATGTTGACAATGGTAGAGTCCAGCAGCCTATTGCCAATATATATTCAACAATTTCACTGGGCGTCCATCTTTGATAGACTATCTTGTGAAGATACACAGTCCCTCTAGATAACCTACATATTTATTGATCTCATTTTTCTGCATGAAGGTTCCCTAACCCCAGAGAATCTATCTGTCATTTTGCGATTGGCTTATTTCACTGAGCATGATGGGCTCAATTTGGGACATTTTGTTAAATGGTCAGATTTCATTCTTTTTAATGGCTGAGTAATATTCCCGAGTAAATGTGCTAAGTTTACTAAGTTTTTCTTATTTTTCCCATGAATTAGTTTTAGACAGTTGATTCTGGTCAAGGGCTACAGAAAGGTAGGTGAGACCACCATTTCCACATTCTTTTTCTCCTTCCTGTATGTGGGGGAAGGAGAGAAGTCATGTCCAGCCTCCCAGATGCCTCTACACTCTGGGATGGTGGACAGCCACCCAACACCACCCCAATGTCCCCACTATGGGGCATGCTCTGAGGGTCCTGCTGAAGAGGCTTTGATAGTTCAACAGTTCTGAATTACTGATAATCTTGCCCCTCCAAGCATGAAGAAATCTCTTCAGAATCTACTAGTCAACATAGTCTAGCCTAGAGTATCCGTTTGCCCAGGTATTCACTGCCAACTCTTGGCTGGGGTAGTTGATCAATTCGTTCTATCCTCCGTCCTGTTATGTTACCAGGTGTCCTCTGCATGTTCTACTGTACTGTGTATCCTCCATGTACATCTGGATATGCTGTTCACTGTCCCATGTAAGCCACTGAGGAGGCCCAGCTCTGACACACGCACTCCATGGTCAGACCAACCTGCACTTCTTTTCAGGGTTGGGGTTCTGAGTCCAGAGATTCCATTGTGTGGTGGGGCAGGAGGATAGACAAACTTCATCTGAGCGGATCCCACACCTGGTTCTTGTGTGTGCATATCAATACAGGGTCTGACACAGTCACCCAAATCAGCCTATGCACATACTGTTAGTTGCAATTACCAGGTCAGTTGTCTCCAGCCCTGTCTTCTCCATCCTGATCCTACCCACCACACACTGGACCTTCAAGTATGCCAGTGGAAGTGGCCACCTCGTTGGAACAACCTGTAATAACTCCCACCTGGCCTACCCCCGGCTTGCCAGTATGTACAGCATATTGGTCTGGTCCAGTCTGTCCTACAACCCATTCAGCTTTCCTGTAGGTCATTGAAAACCTAATTCAGCCCAGTCCACACTGGTGCCACTGGGTGTCACCATCTGTTTAGCCAAGCCTACCCCCCTTGTCCTGAGTCTCATGCTCACCAGTGGGAGTGGCAACCCAAGAGGGAGGTGGCCCCTGTTTCCTTACTGGGCCCACTCTCAGATCTTGCGCTCTCCAAGTGGTTCTGCATTTTGACAGAACTTGCCCCTTGTGCCAGTATCTGCCAGCTAATGCTGCAGCAGAGCCCAACCAACCCAGCCTGGCATTTCCCTAATCCAGCTCACACGAGGCCAACAGGTTTCATAGCCCAACCTGGTCTGTCTCCATCCCAACCCATACTCTCCAGTGGGAGTGGTGGTCTAGCAGGGGAGCCCTCCACAGTCCCTTACCGGCTTTGCCCCCTCCTCACTTGGTCTCACAGGTGCTGGTTGAGTGCTGTGGCCCAGTCTGACATGGCCCGCCTCACCTCAGCACTTGCCAATAGGTGTTGTAGCCTGACCGGGCCCTGCCCATCCCAAATTCCAGCTAAAAACTGGTGGAGGCTACAGCCTAGCCCAGCCCACTCCCAGTCATGGCCTTCATGTGAACTGGGTTGATTGTGACCCAATTCGGCCCGACCCACACTCCGTTCTGGCGCTCAGATTTATCAGTGGGTGATATGAACTGGCCTGCCCCCAGTCCCAGCTCTTGCTGGCGGGTACTGGAACTGGGCCCTGCTCAATCTGCTGTCATCCCTGGCTCATGCAAACCAGTAGGTATGATGGCCTAGCCCAGCGTGACCTGTGCTCTAGCCTGGTTTGCACACTTCCTGGTGAGCTAAGGTTTGCTTGGCCCTGCCTGGTCTGCCCCCTTCCAAAATCCACCCACACATTAGCTAACAATTGGAGCTAGCTTGCCTGATCCCCAGGCCTGGCTCATGCATGCCTGGTATAGCCTGCCCCTCCATCTTGGCCTTGTATGAGCTGGTGAACATTGTGGCCTGGCCCGCCCTACACCCCTGTTTTAGGATGCACATGTGGGTGCTACAGCTTGGACTTGCCCAGCCTATTCTCAACCCCTGTACTTGTTAGTGTTGGCAGGTTCCATGGCCACACCTAACTCAGCCCATCATCACCCCAACTCTTGAACTAACCAGTGGGACTTTTATTTCCGTAGGATTTGGCCCACACATCCACCACAGAATCTAAAGACCTGATTCTCTTGCGTGTTAGTGGCATGACCCTGCCTAATGTGACCTGTCCCCTATTATGATATTCAATCTGGTACTGGGTTCTAGCCCTACTAGACAGACCCCTAGCCCTTGCTTTGTGGACTGGTGTGTGGAGGACAGCAATGTTCCATGCTAACAAGTTCTACTTAGGATTCCCATGTGGGCTGGTACATCAGTCTGACCCAGACAGCTCTTCCAGTCTGTCCTCTCCAAACCACCAGGTCTCAGTCCCCTCACTTACCTGAAAGTACAGTGGTCCTGTCATTGGGAGGCCCTCAGGGTTCATTCCTCACATAGAGTAGCTCTATCCACGGATGTCCCTAGGCAGTAATTCCACCCCCTCAAGACCCCAGAGCTCTCTGCTGGGCAGCCAGCAGGAAAAAACTACCAGGCCCAGACAAGCCCGATATGTCCACTGATTGGTAGCGGTGGCTGGGGCTAGGGCCCCAAGCATTGAGTCCAACCTGGCTCAGGTGCCCCCAGCAGCTGGCATGCTGCCGAGAGGTCCATCCATCCAAGCCCGGAGGTTGAACTCCTTCCTGTATCACTTTCTTTATCTGCTCCTCTTTTGATGATCATCTGGGTTGCTTCCATGTCTTTGCAATTGTAGATTGCAGTGCTGTGAATAGAGGAGTACAAGTCATTTTCTCATTTGCACATTTCTTTTCCTTTAAATACATGCCCAAAAGTGGGATAGCTGGATCATATGGTAGATCAATGCTCGGATCTCTTAGCACTTTCCATACTGAGTTCCATAGAGGTTGTACTATCCTACATTCCCATCAGCAGTGAAGAGTATCTTTCTCCCCACGTCCATGGTAGCAGGTGTTAGTAGAGTTCTGAACGTAAGCCAATCTCACCGGTGTTAGGTGAAACCTCAGTGTGGTTTTCATTTGTATTTCCATGATAGCTAGGGAGCCTGAGCATTTTCCCACATGTGTATTAGCCATTTGAATGTCTTCTGAAAAATGTCTGTTCCTTTCCTTTGCCCATTTCTTCACAGAGTATTTATTGTGCTGTTGTTGAGTTTCTGAAACTCTTTGTAAATCCTGGATAAAGTCTGTAATTTACTGAAACATTCTGAAATATTTTCAAGTTGCTAAAATCTCTAGAAATTGCTTTAAAGTGTTCCAAAATACCAGTTGTCAGCATTTAGAAAAAGAAATTATCTGAAAGGCTGAGAGAGGCAGGTAGATAGCCATTTCCCACAGCCCTCCATAGCCAGGGTTTAGCCAGGCCAGAGCAGTGCACAGGAATTCATCACTCAGGCCTCATACATTGCTCCCAAGAAGCTGGACTCAGGAGCCAGACCTGGGAATTGAAACAGGTACACAACAGTGGAACAGGGCTGTCTTGCTGCCAGGGAAACTATGCCTGTCTCATGTGTCAGCTTTTTTTTTTTTAAAGATACTTGTCTTTATAGTTAACCAGCTAGAAAAACTTAAAAGTCAGAAATTTTGTGCTTGATTTCTTTTTCAACCATGTATCATTAGGTACCACATGCGCATGATACAGTGGTCAAAAAGCACCAAGTAATACACAATGGAAAATAACATTTTGACTTGTAAAAGGTGTCTTTTTTCCTTACTACTTCATTTTCAGTAGGGTTTTTTCTTTTCTTTTTTTTTTTTTGTTTGTAAGATTCTGCTTATTTGAAAGGCAGAGGGTGAAGCAATGAGAGAATTAAACTTATTTTGGTGCAAAAGTTTGAAATTTATGAAATATGTAGATCTCAAGTTCAGAAATACATATTATGAAGATGGTATTTGTGAATTGCAAACATTTTGCCTTGAGATATGCATCTTATTTTTATTTTTCAAAGGTTCTCAAGTCCCTTGTATATAGAAATGAGATTCAGATTAGTTGAAAAAACTTAAATGAAATCATAGACACAACAATGTAGTAAAAATTTTAAGACCTGTGAAAGAGTGATTATTTTTTTGACCCACTGTATCAACATATGCACACATATCAGTTTAAGTAAATTCTTACATCTTTCTAGGGGAACGCTGACATTAGGCATAGTGTGTCCTGTTTTTCTGCAGGGAGCGCGGTGTGTGCCAGTGTGTCCTTCATGGTTTTAACCCTTAGATGCATAGTACCTGCACAGGAAGCAACGGTCCTTGTGGGCTTGCCATTTCTGCCACACCTGAAAGTGCCGGCATGTGCGCATGCAGGCACCTGGCAGAGCAGGCTGGCAGTGCACTTCCCCACGTGGGATTGTTTAAACACTGGCTTGGCTTTTTGAGTTCTGCAGTGATTCCTCTTGCTGTCCCTCAATGTGTTTAGAATTAGTTAAACCTATTTAACATTTTAATCGAAGTCTCACTCCAAACCATCATTCTAGGTACCATCACAGGAAAATAAGATATTTCAACCTTTGAGAATCTTTTATAACAGTATCATAGAAACAAATGTACAAAAGCTAAGAGCACACAAAGCAAGTCCCCTGGATCTACACGAAGGACTACCAGTATGGGCACCAAGGACTACATCCCAACTACCAAGGAGACTACGGGGAATTGGAGTGCCTCCGGAGGCCGAGAACTCTGAGGTCACCCACCCCCATCTGGAACCCTGAGCAGTCCGTAGACACTGAAGAACAGCAAACTTCCTTCGGGACTAGGCAAGCGAGCTTTCACTGGTCCTTACCTATCTTGCAGTGACCATCAGGGTCACTCCAGAGCCCCCCACCCCAAAAACAAACAAAATCAGAATAGACAGAAAAACAAGGAAAGCTTAGAACCAGACAGGAAACGGTCAGAGTGGATTCACATAAACCTAACTAGGTAGGACACAGGGATTAGATACTCCTCACTGGGGAATGGAAGATTTCTCTGCACACCGCTCCTAAAACTGTTCTACACCTCAACTGTTGACATATGCCGTGCTAGAGTTATAAGCTAGTTTAGACTATCTTAAAATCTGCCAATTCAGTACAATTATGCTTCAATGGTATAACTGCTAAATACTAAAACGAAAATAGATGCGAGACAGCCATTTTAAGGTGTATAGAAGCTAGTTGTATATAAACTAAAATCAAAATGTCAATGAAATAGTCACAGGATGTGGTTAAGAACTTGCATTTTTTTTAAACATATTGGTTACTCACTACCATGTCAATTAATTCCATAATGTTGTAAATTGTCGTTGTTGTGCTGGGGCTTTTAATTGATCGGGATGATATTCTGCCATCTCTACCTTCAGACCAGAGATGGTCTCCCCAAGAAACTGTTGAACTTATCTGGACAATAAGATGCCGGACTCTAGGCTTGGTATATGCTTGACTGAATTTGAACTGTGGTACTGCAACAAGGTGGAGGAATCCAGTATGGGGAGGGTATAGGGAGGGGTTGGGGGAATCCCAGATCCTATGAAACTGTGTCACATAATGCAATGTAATTAATAATAAAAAGAAAAAGCTAAGAGCATTGATTGAAGTAGAAATTCATCATAAATACTTCCCCAGTCTATTCACTATTTAAAAAAAATTGACGGGCAGAGAGAAAGAAAATCTTTTAATAAACAGACCCTCAGGCCTGGCGCAATCACGTAGTGGTTAAGATCCTCGCCTTGCATGCCCGGGATCCCATATGGGCACCCGATCTAATCCCGGCAGCCCCGCTTCCCATCCAGCTCCCTGCTTGTGGCCTGGGAAAGCAGCTAAGGACAGCCCAACGCCTTGGGACCCTGTACCCGCATGGGAGACCTGAAGAGGCTCCTGGCTCCTGGCCTTGGATTGGCTCAGCTCCAGCCATTGTGGCTGCTGGGGGAGTGAACCATCAGACAGAAGATCTTCCTCTCTGTATATATGACTTTCCAATAAAAATAATAAATAAGTCTTTTAAAATAAACAGACCCTCAATGTGCTTGTTGACTCCCCCGATGTCTGGGAGCTGGCCAGGTGAAAGCTAGGCTCTCTAGCTGTGTCTGCCTTCCCAGGGGCAGTTAGTGGGGAGCTGATCAGGATCAGAGTAACCAGGTGTTCAAACCAGCCAGTGTTGCAGGGGACAGCCTAACCCTTCGTGCCATCTCATTCTCTGGAAGCCTTTTTTTTTTTTTTCTTTTTTCTTTAAGATCTTCCATCCAATGATTCACTCCTGAAGTGGCTACAACGGCTGAGGCTGAGCTGATCCAAAGCCAGGAGTCAGGAGCTCCTCCAGGTCTCCCACACAGGTGCAGGATCCCAAGGCTTTGGGCCGTCCTCAACTGCTTTCCCAGGCCAAAAGCAGGGAGCTGGATGGGAAGCAGAGCTGCCAGGATTAAAACTGGTGCCCATATGGGATCCTGGCACACTCAAGACGAAGACTTTAACCACTAGGCTATCGCGCTGGGCCCTGGAAGCCTTTCTTAAAAGAAAAAAAAGAGGAGAGATCTTCCATTTGCTGGTTCACTCCCCAAATAGCCCACAAGAGCCAGCACTGGACCAGGCTGGAGACAGCTTTCTCTAGCTCAGGGGCTCACACTCGGTCATCTTCATCTGCTTTTCTCAGGCCAGTTACAGCAAGTTGGATCAGAAACAGGGCAGTTAGGACTCCAGTTGGCACTCTCATAAGGGCTGGCATTGTAACCAGTGCCAGCCGCTAGGCTGATGCTTCTGTGGTAGGCTTGGTTGACTGAGGTGGATAAAGAAACAATACTTTCTAGTTAGGATTTTCATAAGCCAATCTACATAACTTGTTCCTGCTTTCATGACAATACATAATGACTATGAGCATTCATTTTTCGTAGAAAACATTTGACTTGGTTCCAAACTACCATTAGCAGAGTTGGATTAACTGACAAAAATTTCTAAAGCAAAGGAGGATGGCTCAAGCAGGAGCCCAGGATGGAGTTCTGGATCCCTGATTCAGCTGGCTCCCGATCTGGCTGCCAGACGCGGGCAGTGAGGCAGTGGATGGAATCTGCCCATACCCCTTACCACCGTCTTTCCCTCCCTCTCTGTGGTTCTGCGATTTCAAGCCAATAAATACTTTACAAAAAAATAAATAAATTTAAGCCCACTTCTAAAAAAAAAAAAAAAAATCACCCTTCCTTTTCAGATGGAACCAAGAAATCTGGCAATAGTTTTTGGTCCCACTCTGGTGCGAACATCAGAAGACAACATGACTCACATGGTCACCCACATGCCCGACCAGTACAAGATCGTGGAGACGCTGATCCAGCACGTGAGTGTGGCGCCCGCGGGGCCCCAGCTGCTTCTGCAGGGAAACGTCTGGCCTCTGGGGCTGTGATCCTGGTGTTTACTGCCTTCTGAGGTTTCAACCTCAGGGAACTAATTTCTCTCCTTGTCCTTTTTGTTTTGAATTTTAGCATGATTGGTTTTTCACGGAAGAAGGAGCCGAAGAACCTCTTGTAAGTATTGTCCGTCTGCGTTCCTACTCCGTTATTTTCATTTGGGACGCGAGAACCTGATGCTACAACAGTGTCCACTTCCCGCTTTGTGCGCTGTTGTCTGCTTTGCACCCCGGAAGCAGGTTTCTGACCTAAGGGAGATACAAGTACGGTGTGTGTTTTATGGTTAAACCGTTACGCACAGGTGCTCTGTGCAGTAATGTGTCTGTCACTAACTGTTGTTTGAATTTTGAAGAAAGTGTCTGTGACGAGATGATGAAGAGATCTCTGTTTATTAACCATAGACGACAGTGCAGGAGGAAAACACAGTAGACTCGCAGCCAGTGCCAAACATAGATCATTTACTCACCAACATTGGAAGGACAGGCGTGGCCCCCGGAGACGGATCAGGTAACTCCCGCCTGGTAGTGTCGATCTCGAGGTTCAGCGCTACATTCTTGTGCTGTGAAAGAACGAATCAATCATGAGTAACAGTTCACTATGATCTTTCTTTTCTGTTTTCGTTTGTTTTTTTTTTTTTTTTCCCACTCCAACTACTAGAAAATGTGATCTTCCTTTTCTGACGATCTCCGTTGTCTCCAGTGACTCTCAAACCATTGAACAGTGCATGGGGTTGTAATGTTTCTCAGAACGAAAACAGGGAGAAGAGCATGCAAAACTGTTCTGTTTTTTTTTTTTTTTTAATTCATAGTTTCCATCTAATAGTCATCACAAGGTAAAACAGATACATGCTGCTGGATATGTGGTTGCTGTGAGGGCAGAAAGCCGGGGTTAAAGTGTATACGTAGTTGTTGAGCTGGGAGGTCTGCCTTGGAGTGGCAAGCTAACACGTCCAACTGCGATGGGCACCATTTTTATAACTATCTATTATTATGTATTATCATTACAGTCGCCTCAGTTAAAAATAAATAAATAAATAAATCTGACCTTTATTTTTCTCCTGTTTCTTACGGCCACCCTAACGCTTGGTTAAGTATTAGTTTTTACTAGGCTTCTGATGAAATTTCTCTCCTGCCAAACTGTTTGCACTAATCTAGCATGTTGTTTGACACAATGTTCTCCCTTTGTCTCTAGTTCTTGTTCTAGTCCTAAAGGGTTGTTTCTCAGCACTTACTGACACAGGCAAATCTATACTGATGTTGCACAGGCGAAGTGGGAGGAGTCTATCACACGGTAATGTCACTGGTGGATTCGGTGCTGTCCCTGATGGACAGCTGGAACTGTAGGAAGAAGGACGGCTGCTGTCCCCACTGTAGCTGCCTTGTCTGCAGAAACCCCCGATTCTTGTAACCGCAAACAGAGTTGATCTGTCGTGTCAAGTTTCTCTTAAGACTATTGTAAACAGATCAATACTACTTTCTTAAAGTCTTTCTGCTGTTTCTTGTTATTTCTGAAGCAGACCCTGAGGAGAAATAGCATGGTATGCTCTACCAGTTCTTAAAGTCATACAGCATTTGGCCATGTGTTAAAAGGGGCGTGGCATGGGGCTCAGCTCAATAATTTGGAAAAAAAAAAAAAAGATTTCCCTCCAGTTAAAAGATGAAATTTCAAAATTGGTATTAAATTGAACAGCGCTAGCCCCTTCCTACCCTCTTTATAATTGTACAATCTGAGTTTTTGCCAGACAGTAAAATTACGGTCTCCATTTTTCCATTTCCATAGTTGCGCTTGTTAATAGATAATTGCAAAACTGGTAGCAGTTTAACCAGACTAGCCAAAAGGACCCCTGACTGCAGTGATGTGAAACTGGGGTCTGAATCCCAGACATCAGCATTGCTTATCAGGAGAATGGGTGACCTGAAACCAGGGTTATCCCAACGCAGCTTTGGCATCCATTCATACCCCATAAGTATGAAGCATCCGGTATATACTGACAAAATGTTAAGTCTGACAAAAATCCATCAAAGCGCACCAGTATGAGTGTCTCGATTTGTAGTGAGGGCAGCCGATGGTCTTACAAGTTCTACATTGTGTATCAGTTTCAGATACAGGATGTGGCACATAAGACAGTTCTGAAATGGTCTTTAGGCTCTGGTATTGCAAGAATTGAGATTTAGAAGCCCTAATATAAACACCAGTGTTTCTGTTTCTGTTTAGTACAGGGCTCCTTTGCCATTCCTATCATTGAGCTGGTTCTGCCTACAATTCACAGCATCCTTTCATGGCAGTGGCTTTCTGTGGTGCAGCTGGCATCTTTGTGAGCTCTGACTATCCACTGTGTTCTACGGTTTTGTTTGAGTTTTGCTTTCCCATTTTGTCCTGCACCTGTCTTTTCCATAACTTTTAACTTTTTGCATCGTTTGTTGAAAGTGGTGAAGACTGACCAATACTGACTGTGGTTCCTTTCCCTCCTCAGATTCAGCTACTAGTGACTCAACAAAATCTAAGGTAAAGTATTCTGTGCAATTTGGAAATATTTGGAAGGGCGGAGGTTACTTCTGAGATGACTTCTCACAGTTATACAAATGTCCATCCCTGTGTGTCTAAAGAGAGCAGCAATGCAGTAAATGGAAAAATTCATTTTTAAAGCAGGATATACGAATATTGGATCATGAGTGGGAATGCTAGCTGTCTCACAGGCACTGTCGGCATAATACAGAGGCTTCAGCTTTCTTATCCGAGGAGTGTAGCGGACAGTAAAGCAAGTCTCCCTGAACCCTTGACTGACCCAGCAGTGATCCACGCCATCCCATCCTCCACCAACCACCCTCTCCCTGGGACTACTCTTGTACAAGCACCACAGCTCTTGAGCTTTCATTGTTATTATACATTTTCTCTCTCACACACACACACACACACACACACACACACACACACACATTCCTGTTTTCCTCAGTAAATTGTCTTTCTAATTTAGGTTTGGGCATTAGTTGTGCTCTACTGACAACAATATCAAAACCATATAATTAAGAGTTGGCAGGAAGTTTTGATAAGTGGATTCATGTCCAAAGTTGGCTTTGCCACAGCACTAGTGACTTAGAATTGTCAATGGAATTTTAACAATGTTACCATACTTAAACACATCCATTAACACTGAATGATTTCCATCATTTTTCACCCCCATTGTCTTTATTTTCAAATCTTTAAGCCTACGGCAACCTTTTTGGGATAGTAACATCCTTTAGATTCATCAGGTGGTGTAGTCTGAGCTGTGTATAGGTGGATCTCGGTTTTCATTTCTCTCCTTCAGTCATTTGGGTTACACAAACAATGACAACACATCTAACTACCGGTGCTTCTGTCACCTGGGAGTGAAGGCATCTCCTACGAGGAGTACACTGCATACCATACAAACTCCCTACCCCATGACAGTTATGTTCTTCATTTCTCTACACAGGGTGCAGTCAAGGAGCAGTCCTTGCAATTAGTTACCCGAGATGTGTTGGACTCTAACTCAGTACAGTGTCCCAACCCGTTCCCCTCCACTAAAGAAAAAGTGTCTTTAACCTAAAAGCCCTGTTTAAAGTCTCCACTCTTCACTCACCGGATGCATCTTGGTTAACCCATGAAGGGGCCCTGTAACCTGCACCCCTGTGGTAAGGGTCTCTCGGGTGGAAATAGGATCTTTTACCCCAGCACATGTACAATTATGAAGTCCTCAGCTTTTAACAAGGAGCTGAACCATGAGTCACTGGCTCAGCGTGATGACTCGCAACACCCAGGAGGGGGAAGGTTTCTACTGTCCCCGCACCCACTGTGTGGGAGAGCCAGGAAGGCCCAGTAACCACCATGTGTGTACTGCATACTTAGGACGTCCTTACACCCTTCCAAAACACAGACTTCTGCATTGTGTTGGAGCCTCTAATGCAACAGCAGCCTCAATGTTCATTTCTTAGGAATTAAGTACAGTTTTAGCTTACCTAGGATGTTTATGCCAAAACAAATAGCTTCTATCATTAATAAACCAGTACCTGCTTTAGCATGCAGACCTCACAGCCAGCTTGACCTGTCACAGTACACTGACGCGTTTACTGGAGAGGACACAAGATCCTATCCCTGCCCTTTTGGAGCTTCCCAGGGTCCACGAAGCCAGTTCTTGCCCCACTGGCCTTCACCAAGAGCAGTGCCTAAAGACACGGCCTGGGTGCAGCAGGGTTAGCAGGATCTTCTCCCTACATCTGTGGTCTAGGGCGGCTGTCGTTAGAACCCCCAAGTCAGCCACAGGACTTGAACAGCCCGCATCAGAATCTTACATTGGAATAGCACCAAGCTCTTAGTCCAGAGTCCCAAGAAAGTGTGGCAGCTGAGGCAGGCTCTTGTTTCAGAGAAGTGAGTAGAAATCAGGCGCACTCCTTGGCGCTAAGCCCGAATCCTCTCCCTTAGGGTCAAACGGTAGAAAGAAATCCTGTGTGACCGGCAGGGAAACAGCACCAAGGCCACAAGAGGGGCTGGTTGGTTAAGTGTGCCTCTCTGCTGCAGTTTCTGGGAGGTTTCAAGCCGGCCCGTGTCTGCTGTCAGTGCCCCTAGAGCTCTGGGGAAGGCTTTTCCCAGAACCCACGCTGCACCCCGTGCTTTGGGTCAAGTTCTCGTTTCTCTGCCACTCCGCAGGGCTCCTGGGGACCAGGAAAGGAGCAGTACAGCAGGGAACTGCTGGTGTCCTCCATCTTCGCAGCCGCCAGCCGCAAAAGGAAAAAGCCCAAGGAAAAGGCACAGCCCAGCAGCTCAGAAGACGAGCTGGACAGTGTGTTTCATAAGAAGGAGAACGCGGCACAGGGTCACAGTGACGCCAAGGAAGAGTCCAGGAAAGATGGAGAGACCTTGGGCAGGAAGCAGAGGGGCCCAGCTGCAGCCAGGAGTGAGAGGGCGGCCCCCGGGGGTGAGGTGCGCTCCCCAGCGCTCAGCTGCCGCCTGCCGGTGCCCAGGGAGGGCTCTGGCTGCCGGCTGACCCCAAGGCCCCCTTGCTCCGCGGAGGAGGCGGGTTCAGACTCGGGCACACTACTCAGCATGTCTTCCCAGGCCTCGCTGCCACAGCCATCCACCAAGCCCAGTGCCAGTCCGGAGAGCAGGCGAGGCGAGTTTGTGGGCACCATCACCTCTGACTACTCCACCACGTCTTCAGCCACCTACGCGGTCAGCCTGGACTCCAGTCGCCTGAGCCCCGAAGTTCAGTCCATGGCGGAAAGCAGGGGCGACGAGGCAGACGACGAGCGCAGCGAGCTGGTGAGCGAGGGCCGCCCCCCCGAGAGCGACAGCGAGTGTGACTTTGCTGTGTTCACCGTGTCACACGCTGCCGAGCGCGAGGGCAGCCTGGCTCTGAGCCTCGAGGGCCGCAGGCCGCCCTTCAGCTCGCACAAGCTCATCGAGTGTGACACGCTGTCCCGACGAAAGTCCACCCGCCTGCGCTCCGAGGGCGAGCGGGACGCGCCTGCCCTAGCCCGCGTGTTGGATGTCATGAAGAAGGGCAGGTCCACTGGCAGCCTCGCGCCACCCCCTGCCAGAGCCGAGGCCGAGCGGCCTGAGCCCTCGTGGAAGAGCAGGATTGCAGATCGCCTCAAGCTGCGGGTCAGGGCGCCCGCTGCCGACGACATGCTCCCAGGGGCCAGCCCCAGGCCTCAGGCCGAGGGCACCCGGAGGAAAAACATCCGGCGGCGGCACACGCTTGGCGGGCACCGGGACGCAGCAGACGCCAGCGTGGCCAGCTTCTGGAAGGTGCATGAGCAGGGCGGCACCGAACCCGAGCTGTCGGCCGTGACACGGCTAAGACCCAAGTGCCAAGCCCAGGACCTGTCCATCGCAGACTGGCTGGCTCGGGAGCGCCTCCGCACCAGCACGCCCGACCTCAGCTGCTCGCCCACAGGCGAGCCCGTGTTGAGCAGCCCCAGCGGCCTGGGTGCTGGCCCAGCCCTTACCCCAGCGGCTTCACCAGACCAGGTGAATGGCGACGAGCGCTTCCATAAGGGGAGCCAGGCCGCCTCTGGCCCTGCAGCTGCCACACAACCCCACAAACTGTCAGAAGCCCGGGGCAGCAGCACACCGCTCCATCCCTGCGTGTGAGCCGAGGCTCAGGCACAGCTATTACTGCAGGCTCTAGCCCCTCTGTACAGACCTTCCCGCCCCAGACCTGTTATTCCGCAGCCTTGCCCAGGGCTGCCTTCTTCCTCGTGCACTGTGGAACGGCTTTACAGTGTACTGCCGCAGCCAGAAGAACATACATATATATAGATATATATATATTTAAATATATATATATTTAAAAGTATATCAAATAGTTGTATACAAATGAGCACAGTATTTGTTGCAACTCGCTCCATAGTGTAAGACCCAAAATGACCGCAGGAAGGCGCTGGCACGCACGTGCCGCCTGCCTCTTCCTCTGGTTTCATCACTAACAAAAGTGCCTCATACGAAAACACGTCGGGGTGTTAGGGTGCCATATTGGTGACGTGAGATAACGTGAATCCGCGAGCACACCTTGTCGGTAACAAGCTTCATCCCATGGCCCAGTTTTAACACAGGTGGATACAGAACTTCCATTCTTTAGTCATTCCAGGTGGATCTGAGTTTTATATTCAAACTTTTAATACAGCTTTTTGAGTTTTTGTGTGACTTGAATTTTTAATCTTTCTGTAAAATACGTAACTTAAATGAACATATTATATGTGTATCTTTTCTTCAGATACCAGATTTGATATAAATGTTGTAACATAGATGTGTAGTAGTGGGTCCTGGATGGAACTGGCCTCTTTATCGAGAAGAATATAATTCTGCATGAGGACTTAACGAATCCAAACCTGTGTCATGCCTGTGTGCATACCCGATTAAACACTGGAAATAAAACTGTTTTGGTGAACTTTGCTTGGTTTCAAAAGCAATCCTGTTTTTAAATGCCACTCATCTACAACTGTCCAAAGTGATTTGATAGGACCCGTGCCTTCCCCCCTTCTAGCTGGCGGGCAGTGCTCCCAGGATCGGATGGTTTCACTGATGAATTCCAAACTTTTCAAGAACTAATTCAAATTCTTGTCATGCTACTAATACTAAAAGCAATGGAAAAGAAGGGAATATTCCCAACTCCTTTTAGGTCAACATCACCTTACTTCCAAAACCAAAAACAAGAAATAGAATTACAGTGCAATATTCCTGATGAGAGATACAAAACTCCACAACAAAGTACTACCTAATTAAATCAACAACACATCAGAAAGATCACTTGCCTGGACCAAGTGGATTTATCCTTGGTGTGTAGGGATGGGTCAACAAAAGCAAAAAATGTGATATGCCACATTAACAAGCAGAAAAATTAAAAAACCATAGGGTTACTTCAAAAGACCCAGAGAAAGCATTTGATAAAATACAACATTCTTTCATTTATATATATATGATATAAATAATATATTAAATATGTAATTTTAAAAACTTAAAATTTGGGTGCATAAGAAATATCACTTGACACAATCAGGACAATGTATGAAGACCCCGTAGCTAACATCATTTTGAATGCAGAAAAGTTAGAGGCATTTCCACTGAGATCTATAACTAGGCAAGGATGACCACTTCTACCATTGTTACTCAATATACTTCTGGGAGTTTTAGCCGGAGCCATTAGGCAGGGGGAAAACTTGGCATGGAAGAAGTCAAGCTATAACTACAGATGAGAGGATTCTCTAAGGTAACTGCAAAGCTCTTCTAAGAGACAATTGAAATTAAAATGCATAAGAGTTTGGCAAAGTTGCAGGCTATAAAGTCAACATGTAAGAATCAGTGGTCTTTGTATCCACAAACAATGTCATGGCTGAGAAAGAACTTGAAGGATCAGTACCATTCATAATTACTGCAAAAAAAAAAATACCATGGAATTAATTATCCAGGTATTTGAGGAATCCCTATGATAAAAATTGCAAACTATTAAATAGAGGAAGACACCAAAACATACAAAAATTGCCATGCTCATTGATTGATAGAATATTAAGATGTCCATGTACTAAAAGCAGTTTACAAAATCTATGTGTTCCCAATCAAAATCCTTTTGACATTCTTATCAGATCTAAAAAAAAAATCATGTTCAAATTCATATGAAAAATTAAGAGATCTGGAATTGCTAAAGCAATCTTAATTAAACAACAGAAACAAAAGTCTGGCATCATAATACCAAACCTTCAAGGCATTCTATGGGGCCGTTGTAATCAAAACAACCTAGCAGTGGTACAAAAACAAACATGACTATCAGTGGAACAGAACAGAAACCCCAGAAACAAATCCACACATCTACATCCAACTAATTTTGACATATTAACCAAAATAAGACAAGGAGAAATAAGTTTCATTAATAAAACTGGATCTACTATGCAGACAGATGAAGCATAACTTCTACCTTAAACCTCACATAAAAACTAAACAAGCAGATCAAGGAGCCAAAGCTAGGACTGATGCCATCAAATTACCTCAGAGAAATTCCTCAAATCATAAGCATTGCCAAGATTTCTTGGAAAAGACTCCAGAAGGGCAGGCGATTGAAGCATGAATAAACAAATGGGCTTATATCAAGCTAAACAAAAACAAAACAAAACAGAACAAAAAAACTTCAGCATTGCCAAGCACACTATCAACTAAGATAACGAAGAACAGAATGGGAGAAAGTATTTGCAAACTATGCCCTGATAGAGGATTAATATTCAGGATCTATGAAGAGCTCAAGGAACGCAACAAGCAATCCAGTTACAAAATAAGCAAAAGCAAACAGACATGTTTCAGAGGATAAAATTCTATTGGCCAACAGACACATGAAAAAAAAAATGCTCAGGTTCACTAGCCATCAGGGAAATGAAATAAATACCACAATGAGATTTCACTTCATCACAGTTAGAATGGTCATCAAACAGAAGTCAGAAAGTAAGTGCTGGAAAGGTTGTGGGAAAAAGACATTGTGACCCACTGCCGGTAGGAATATAAACTAGCGCAACCATATGGAAGACAGTATGGAGATTGCTCATAATGCTCAAAATAAATCCACCATATGACCCAAACATCCCATTTCTGGAGATTTACCCCAAGTGAAGTGAATTCAGCATATGAGAGAGCTATCTGTACTCCCATTTTTTTTTTTCCTGATGATTACATAGTTGAGATGGGTACATGCCCAGGTGGACCACTGATTATGGTGAGAAGGGTTAAGGAACAGGGGAAGGTGGATGAGGTAATGGTTGCCAATTTTCTTTTCTTCCTGTATCTGGGGTGAAGAGTAGGGCAGAGGCCACATGTAGCATCCCAAACACATCAGTACTTAGGGATGGGGACAGGCACCTGGTATCATCCCAGGGTCTCCGATGTGGAGCATGCTCGAAAGGTACATCTCAAGTGATTTTTGATAGTTCTGAAATGCTGTTGAGTTCGTTATAAAGACAAGGAAATCCTTCATGGGCCATTGGCCAACACAGTCCACCTTAGAGTCTCCATTTGCCCAGATACTTGCTCTCAACGCTTGGCTGGGAGAGTTGTCCAATTTGTTCTGCCCTGCATACTTTGGCATGGTACCAGGTGTCCTCTGCACCCCAGTGAACTTCCATATCCCCAGTGTGTATCTGGGCATGCTGTCCACTGCACGGTCTTCAGCAACTGAGGAGGCCCAGTTCTGACTCACGGTCAGAACACACAGATCCTACGTTTTCCCCCATGGTTGGAGTTCTGAGTTTAGGGGTTCAGTTGGTGGGTGGGGGGAGTCCATAAAGAACCTCACCAGAGGTGACCCCCAGAACTGACTCCTGTGTGTGCCAGCCAGTATGGGGGTCCATGTCAGTCCATCACCCACATCAGCCCATACACACCGGTGGTTGCAGTTGTTGGGTTAGTACTGTCCCAGCCCCATCTCTTATGTAAACCAATGGAAGCTGCAGCCAGCACAACCCTGCCCACCACACACTCAGCCTTCACACTCACCAGTGGTCACTATAGCCCAGAGCAACTGCCAAATAACCTAACAAGGCCTGCCTCCAGCCCTGGTTCTAGAATATGCTGACATGTGTAGCCGACCGGACCATTCTGTCCCATATCCCACTCAGATTCTGTACACATCAATGGGTGCTGCAGCCTAGCTCAGCCCAACCAATCCTTCTATCCAGCCCACACTTATGCTGGCTACTGCCTGTGCAACCAGGTCCATCTCCAGTCCCAGTTCTCATGCTCACCAGTAGGAGCTGCAGGCCATCATTGAGGTGCCCACAGTTTTCTGCTAGGCCCACTCCCAGACTCAGATATTGCACTTTCCAGGTGGTTCTATGGTCTAGCTTTACAGAACTTGCCCCCATTCCCAGCACTTGCCAGTAATGCTGTGGCAAAGCCTGATCAGCCTGCGCCCACTCTGCCTCATGCATGTATCAGTGGATATGGCAGCAGGAACAGTGGTCCTGCCCGATTGGCCTACACCCATTTTGGCTCTTATTGTTAGGTGCTACTGCCCAGCAATGCTTGGTCCACCCCAGACACAGCTCTAACATGGTTCAGTGGGTGCTGAGACCTAGCCCAACACATCCTACACTCACTCTGGCTTTCCCAAGTACCAGTGGGTGATGCAGCCTAGCCCAGTCTGGCACACCCCAATCCACACCCATGTAAGGGATGTTGCAGTCATGTCCAACCCAGATTGGCATCCCCCTTCTGGCTCTTGTGCTCACCAGTTGGAACCATAGCACACAGGGACATCCCTTAGCTCCCCAACCAGGCCTGCTCCCAGCCACAGATCATGAACATGCTAGTGGTTGTTCTGACGCAGCCCAGCATAGCTCATCCCTATTCTGGCCTTTGCCATCAGTTGCTGGAGCCTGGCCTTGCTCAGCCTGTCCCCGGTCCCAAATCTTACTAGTGGGTGCTACAGACTATCCCTGTCTAGTCTACTCCCATCCCTGGCTTTCAAACTGGTAGATGTGATAGCCTAGCCCAGCATGGCCTGCACTCCATCCCATCCTCTGCACATGTCAGTGGGTTAGATTTTGCCTGACCTTACCCTGTCTGCCTCTTTCTCTGCTCCCCAGCCCCCACCAGAACCAACCCACACACTTGCCAGCAAGTGGAGCTGCCCTGCTGGCCCAACTAACACCCAGTCCTGACTCACGTGCTCACCAGTGGGAGCTACAGCCCACCAGACCCACTCCTAGCCCTAGATCCCACATGTACTAGTGGGTGCTAAGTCCTCTCCCCACCCAGTCTGCCTTCCCTGTCTTGACCTTTTTGTGTTCTGTGATCCTCACAACCTATTGGGTGTGCCTACGGGTGCTACTGGCCGGGATCAGCCCAGCCTAATCCCAATCACAATGCCCATGAGTGTTGTGAGGTCCCAGGATCACACCTAGCTCAGCTTACCACTACCCACAGCTCTTGAACAAAAAAGGAGACGCTGCAGTTCCACAGGGATGAGCACACATATCCCCCACAGAATCTGCTCCCAGACATAGTTCTCTTGAGTGCTAGTTAGTGTCATTGCCCAGCTTAGTTACCTGCCCCCTGTTCGGACACTCACTGGCAGGTACTGATATATCCCTGCCAGATAGGTCCCCAGCTTAGGATTTATTATGCATTGGTAGGTGGTGGTTGCCTGTAGTTGATGCTAACTAGCCCAGCTCAGGTCACCCATGTGGGTGAGTGCATCAATCTGACCCAGAAAAGCCCTCCAGCTTCTTTCCTCCCAGTTGCTCAGTCTCAGCCCCCTTACTTGTCTGCAAGTACAATAGCCTTGTTGGTGGAACTCCCCCAGAAGTCATTGCTCACCTACTACATATTCCCTTTGTGGTCCTCCCCCTGCTATATTCCCATGCCCCCTTCCCTGAGCAATCCACAGTCCCAAGAAC